GTGGAATGGGACTACTAATGGGGACCATTCTCAATAACATGTTTTTTTTATATATATATATAATATATTTTCAAATAAAGGTGCAAAGGAAACATGAAGATAAGATGCTGACCAAAATAATTTCATTTCTATAGACTTGATAAAAATATCCATCTGCAAAAAACAGAAGTCATTCTAAGTGCCCTAACTAGGGAAAAGTTGCAGAGTGAAGCTCACCGAAGACTCAGCAATGAGAGGGATTTTCTAAGTGATTGATCCAAGAGATTGAGTCAGAATTCACGTCATCTTATACCCAGAATAACTATACAGAAAAAATCCACAAGAAATGATCCTGTTACAGAACTTGTTGGTTCCTATRCCTGTGTGAAAACAAAATGTTAGGTCTTTCATCAAACTTTTCCAGCTACGGAGAAAAGTTGGACCAAGCGATCCCTAAAGATTTGAAAATCAATTCCAGTTGCTAACATCATAGTGCTCTCTTAAAAATGTCTGCCAGTTGTTTGTTCAAAGTACAGGAAAGGTTATACAGTCCCGAGAAGTCAATAGCAACCTGCTATTTGAGCACACTAGCAGTCTCTTTCTTTTGGACCTGTGGTGCCTCTGCTATGAGCATAACCATGAGCATAACCACCAAATATTTGATGGAAGAACTTGTTGGGGCATTTAAAATGACACAATAGGGGACTCCCCTCTCAGACTGATGGGACCGGAATGAGTAAGGCCAAGTTAACTTAAGTGCAAAATGGAATGCTTAATTTAACCTGGAGGACTTTTTTGGAGAAAGATTTAAAGCCCTAACTCAGCTGCAGGTATCAGCCCTCTACAGGCAACTTGCTTTTAAACTGATCCATTTAAGTCTGCCAGAACTCATTTTAACATTGTTAAATGTCATGTTGCACACTAGTGCAACATAAAAAAAATTCTTTGATTATGCACAAAAATCACAACTGAACAATCTTTCCAGTACATAGATATTCCCTAAACTATATAAGGTATTATTGTGTCCCTTCACATTATTCTCTTTCAGTGCATTTGCTATGGGAACAAGTCATTACTAAGTAAACAATTTAATATTTACCACATTTTTCCAGTCTCGCACTTTCTCATCCTCCTCTGATCTGTACGCCTGAATCCACAATACCCAGCTCAGTGTCAGCAGATAACTCCAATTATACTTAAGAAGGCTTTAGAACTGAGCCTCCCTGTGAAAATCCTCTCATTTCTAAAGGTCATCCCTGCAGGTCTAGGATTAGAAGTGCAGGGAGTGCTGCGTGGGTGTACCGAGCTGCTCGCGCTCCACCTATGGAGCTGCCAGCCTGGCCGCTTCCCCTAGGACCAATCTCCCCTGCTTAAGAGCACAGCTGCCCCACGGGCTGGCTCCTCCGTATTGACAACCATCTCCAGTTTCAAGTACGACAGCACCAACCTGTTCACTCCCCATTCATCTGCAGGTGGGGGCAGCGGAAGAGAAAGGGAGGGAGGCAGAGGGAGGACACTGCAACCTACATGAATAATTGATAGTGCAAGGAAAGGAGAGCGTCTGCGGGAGCAGCTGGGTTCCCTGCCTCCATCCGCTCACCAGCTGGGCATCAGAGATCATTGCTCAGGTAGGGGACGAACAGCTTAGTCGCTTTTATGCTCTTCTTACCCGCAGTACCAATTAACGTATTTTGCATCTAGGAGGAATTTGGGCAAAGGCAGCTGGGGGAGGATTGGCAGTGATCTTTGTGCTGCTTGCTGGGCAACGCATAATGGATGGACCTTGGGGCAGTTTCTGCCTCAGCAGGGAAAGCAGCTGGATGCTTTTTAAAAGACGTTGTGCTGTACTGCATTGTGCTGTACTGCACTGTGCAAAGGAACATTTTGAGGGAGAGTATGTACACAGATGGGGAAGGTGGATGGTCTTGTAGGAAATGAGATATGCTAGAAACCTGGAGGGGTGGGAAAGAGGGTCTGTCTAGGCTCTAAGGAATCCTACTCTAATTCTGTCAGCCTTTGACATAAAATGACGACCCCAAATAGGCAGTGGGAAGTGCTGTCTGCGTACACTTAATGCTATTATAGAGGCTGTTTTCATACTTCTGTGAGAATGGCTGCTGTGAAATCACACATATTTCTGTTAGTGCATYTGTGAGCTTATGATGATTGAGTGTAATCTTGTAATTGCATACCATACTTTGCCACTGAAGGGTATGTTGTATTTATGTGGAAGTGCATGGCTTCTTTAAAGCTCTTGATGTTCTTACAGCGACTCAAATAATTGATGAAAGTGCAGAACTCAATTTCTGTGTCAGAGTAAATTGACACTACCCTATGTGAGTGAGATAAAATATTAATGCAGCTGRAAAAAAATATATAAAAACTGTTATAAAAGGGAAAGTACATAGCAAAAGGTATAGATACCAGTTACTGAAATACATATATTAAATACCTGAAGGGTTACATAGAAGAAAAAGAATTTGTGGGACAACTCCGAAAACACACAGTAGCTATAAAAGGCATAATGATCCAAACAAATATATGGATTATAATRTGAGACTATAAATATGCAGAATTAGTCATACAAGAATGCAAGAATCARTATGAACAAAGTCAACTTATTAATACAATTGAACATATAATATTAACTGATACTGTTGCAGTAGCTATGAAAAATAGCAATTRTTAGTTCTGTTATGAGCAAAGGAACATTTTGAGTAGGGGGTTCTGTGATTTGCTTGTATGTGGAAGTAATTTATTCATATGATTATAAAAGCCAGTTGCTAAAACTAATAATTAAGATATTGATAATTGCTTGCTGTTTTGCTAGTGGTTTTTGAGGGCTTTGTACACAACCAGAATTATACAGCAGGTTAGGTAAAGTTACAAGATAGTTGGATGAAAGCTGAGCCTAGGTCTGGTTTTAGACGTGAATCTAATAGGTACTTGTCCATAGTGGCAAGCTGATGGGGAATGGCAAAAGGACCAGGGCCAGTCTGTATACTTTGCTTATACCACAAACAGGCTTCTTATTGTTGCTGATAGTGACTCTGGGATGGGGGAGGCCAGCAGTTGCTACTAGCAGCCCTCTTTAGCAGCAGAAGCTAATGTCTCTTTCTCCTGTTTAGATGCAGCAGCAAACTTGGCTCTCAGCCCTGGCCCAGTCACTTCCCTTTTCCTACTCAAGATTCAGGTGAATGAATAAGAGCTGCCTGTATAGACAGGACCTCTTGGGAGGAGGTGGACTCTATGGGAGTAGCCATGGCCTAGATCAGATCTGCTGAAAAAATCAAGTAAACAAGAAGGGATGGAAACAGCTGCCCTCCCTTCAAATTCCCCAAATCAGCAATCTTCTCTGGTTCCAAGTTGTCCCCTACTTTTATTCCTTACAGTCTCTTCACTCACCCAAATCTGAAACTTGCACGCTACCTTTTGCCCAGGTCTTTCATAGCTGGAATTTCTAGGAAACATCACAACAAAATTGATGTACCTTTATCCCAAGAGTTGTGTGACTACTTCTTCTCCTCCTTTGTTTTTTTTTTTCATTTTGCCCACCTGTAGCGACTATTTCATATTTCTGTCTTGTCTTTCTGCTTTCGCTTCTTAACATCTTTTTGAAATTCTGAATTCTGTCTCTTTATTTTCTACTGTCCCTTCATGAGTTAACAAACGAAGTGTGAGGTTTACAGTTTGTTGTTGCTGCTGCCTTTATGAGTCTTAATGCAGAGAAGTAAATTACATTATCTTGTGTAATAAAATAGGGGATTGCTGAAGAAATGTGTCTGGAAGATCTCTGTGTTCTCATGTAAACACAACTGTCTGCATACACTTGTTGAAGAGGATAGTGTTCTTATCTTCACTTTCTGTCAGGAATGACAATCTATTTGAATGTAAAAGCAAATACATGTCATTAAAGGGTTTCTGGCCCTCAAAATTTGGGCTTCCCTAGAGAATAGGTTACAGGTTAGAGAAGCCAGGTATGTAGGGGAGAGATGTTGTGCCAAATCTGTGTATTACTTGATGTATATCTGTCCCCAAAATCAAGGGCTAGTGAGCTTGGTATCCTCTTATTCTCTCTTGAAGAGCATGACATGCTGCGGGGGACTGACAGCATGCCCACTTCTGTTGGATATGGGGAGGCAAATTGGGTTAATTCATCTTACTCTACAGCAGAGTTGAATAAGGGCCCCCTCTGCTGTCCATCCTGGACACTCATTCTGTTGCCCTCACTGACAGATCCAGAGTTAGACTTCTGTGACTCTGCTGTCCCAGCAGAGACCTCCTACAGTCTATCCCAKGTCCTGTGGGCCACACAAGAAGGGTAAATATGGGGAAATGAACCTCTCTGGTGAGGAGAGAGAGCAATAACTTCCCATCCCTCAATGCTTCCTTTTGCTCCATCTGTCCTCATTCTCCTCTCCTGTCTTTCACTCTCATTACCTGTCTCCCTGGGAGCTTCCAGCCCATGCTGTTCAGGCCTGGTCCCAGCTGTGAGGAGCTCTTTGCAGTCTCATTTGAAGCACAGCTTGGGAAGGGGCRGGCGGAAAGGCATTGATCTTTGCAGGGAGCAAGGAGGGAGCCTGTGCCCTTTTTCATGCTGAGGCAGGAGGAGAGGAAGCACCCAAGGAGAAAAGCTGGGAGTTGCCTTTAGCAGAGAAGTCCAGCATGTTTTCCCRCAAGCACAGTTTCTGTGTTGGCGCCTACGGAGGGTATGTACTAGCACTGGGATGGCTGTCCATTAGGTGCATTGCACTATGCATTTCCTCCCTTCAACATGGGGACAGGGTAGGGGAATGGCTGGAATATTTCTAGGTGGAATGCTGAGCGCGTCCCTTCTTCCTGATGCAAGTCTTCTTGTAGGGGCCGGAAGAAGAGATTTTCCAGGATGTATGAAAAGGAGGGGAGCTAAGAAGGTGGAAGGTGGTGGTAAGGATTCTAACCTGGAAAGTCCTGATCTAGCTTTGGAGTCAGCCCTGCTGTGAGCATTGGACTAAAGATCTCCACAGATTCCTTCTCACACAAATCTTTCTGTGACTCTAAGATGGTGAGTGGGAGAGAGGGTTGGCAGGGGTGCTAGTGTTTGTGAAAGGAAACAGTAAGCAAGAGTCTTCTTTTCCTCTCTTTTTTTGTTTATTTTTTTTGTGCCTCACTGGAAGAAAATACATTTTCTATTTAGGATTTCTTAGGAGGTAGAAGTAAGGATATGTGGAGAGGTTCATTTCCCTCAGGGGTTGTCCTTTTTCCAACCATGCAGGAGAGAACCGTCTTATGGAGTACAAGATTAAGGGTAAGAACTGAGTCGACAGATTTTTTTTTTATACCATTCCCATCTTATTTGTAGAAACAAGAAGGGACAGAGGAAATCCTGACCAAAGGGCGAGGACTGACCACAGCAGTTGGAGCAGTCATTGTCAARCTGGGGGAAATATCTCCGTAAGAGTCAGAAAAGAGGAGTGCTGTTGGAAATAGGATTTCTAACTTGAAGTTAGAGTCTATAAGCAGAAGAGTTTGGGGCAAGCCAAAAAAGAATGCTGTTTCTTCTATAACAGTTGCTTTTTTTGCCTTGTTCTTTCTTGCTAAATCCTTTTTTAAAGATYTTAGGAAACTGTGTGTGACTTGGAGCAAAATAAAATGTCATATTTTCTATTCATATGGGTATTCTTATTAGATTAAGATCCTTAGTATCATGTTTTTAGCTGTCTTCACTAAATACCAAAAACTGTTATTTGGTGGATTAAGTCTAAAGGAGAAACATGTGAGCGAAATAGTGCAGACTGTTGCTCAAGGGAAGTGACTACCCAGGAATGTTCCATACAAGCACTTCATGACTGTTTTTCCTGTTTCATGTTACCTTTGCATAGACTTCAGTTCTTTTGAATTGGCTGTCCCTTCTAGTGGATGTTTCCAAGATCATATCAGTGCCTCATTCCAAGAATCACTCATCAGTCAGCTATTGCACTGACTGTAGTCCCACAATTAGTTGCAAGTCATATCATATTTTTTCTCCTACTGGAAGACTTCTAGGTTAGGAAAGGTTTTCATAAATGGTCATATGCCTGCTTCCCTGTGAWTTTTCATAAAGATAATTATACAAGGATTTGGGACACTTCTTTTCAAAATACAACAAATTTCTAAAAGACTTAGGAAAGATGAATGAAAAGATTTATGAAATCTGTAAAAGCCAATTTTCTCAGGACAAATATTTGTAGAGGCTTTGCTCTTGGACTGGTTCAGCTATAAGCATCTAGGAATGACTTTTACAGAGCTATGTAAAGACCACAGGACTGACATGGCTGGGGATTCTGCAGGACAGGAGTACAGGACATTAGCAGTTGAAATGTAGATATCCGCAAGAGTTGCTTCTCTTACCAATACAGAATTGGGAGCCAAGTATTTAGAAATGGAACAGAAGTGCCTGCTTGAAATGGCAGATTTGCAACCCAGCTATAATTTCTAGTAAAAATTGTGAATGGCATGGAACTTATCAACTCACAGTGAAGGAGGCAGAGCTACCACTGATAGTATCTGTATTGTAGTTTAATGTGTGTTTCTTAAGGTAGAGCATGTTGGCTATTTTTTGTTTTCTGTGAAATTAAATGAGGACTTCTGCTGTTTGTATACACACAACATGCTGTTGCAGTAATAGCCAAAATAAYAATGCATTTTCCATAGAAGATGTGCAGAGAGAAGCCCATCTAATATGTACATGGCCTTTATTAGCTGAGGTAACACAAGTTTGTGCCTGATTCTCTCCTGCAGTACATATCAATTCTGCTCTAGCACAATGTCTGTTATGTTCCTGTCTTGGAAGCTAATACTCAGGCTGTTGCAACTGTGTCCTTTAGGTTATGGTTTCAGTGACGTTTCAGAGCTTTTAGCTCTTCTAACATCATGCAGTTTTGAGATGGCTGGAAATTTCAAGGAACTGCCAATTTGCAGTAGTATTTTGGCCTTTGGACCTTATTTGAGAGTGGGTGCCATGGCCATCTCTTTCATTGCCAGCATTCTTACCCATCTGGTGCCAAAATATCCTTTGAGATTTGTCTTTCTTCTGCTATAAAATCTATATTAGAGGAGGAACTTGGCAGAAAAGATTACTTAGTGCTTGAAAAAAAGTCTGAGGAAAATAATTTATGTGAGCAAAAAGAAAGACATAGGAGCCAGAGGTTTTGGTGGAACTATCCAGAACATGTGGTACGTGATCTGTGAATCATCCATATCTCCAGCTGGATTGAGGTATAGGGAATGACAACTTCCTCATAGCCAAGAAGTGCTCGAGGATAGAGTAAGTGAGCAGAAGGCAGCAGTAGGCACATGCAGGCAATTGCTTGTATCTTGAGTTCTCCAAGAGTTAAATTTTCTTTGCCCCTTCTGCCCACCCTCTTGTGCCTCTGTCTCTTACAGGAGGTCTGATGACGAGGTCTGCTGCATCAGTGATGTTATAGATTCTCCAACCCAAGACATTCCGTCTGCTCTCACTCCTGCTGTTCCCAACAAGGTAAATGCAGTTCACATTCCTTTGGTTCAGTTTAGATAAGGCTTCAGAAAAGAAGTGAAGGAAGGCAAGTTWGTGTATGTCTACATCTTAAAACTACTGTTACTGACTTCTGTGTAAGAATCCTAAACTTGTTTGTGTAGTCCTTTCTTATATTATGTCAAACCATTTTGGGGGTTTTGACCCATTCAAAGAGAAATTCTTGAGACATGCTCTATCAGATTCCAGGTCAAACTCTTACAAAGCAAGATGAAAATTTAGCTAGTTGTTTTGACCATGCCCTCACTTAAGAAAGAGAGATTCTGTCTTGCTTTCAGCAGGAAAAGCAGTTTCTGTATCAAAACRTAGAAGTTCTTGGCTCTATTAGTATCTGGGTTACCACAGAAGATAGTACTTTTGCTCCTTCAAATATTAAATTATTTCCCTGTTACCTTTTCTCTTCACAGACTGTGGACTTATTTGAGATGATTGAAAAAATGCAGGTAAGCAGCAGTTAYTGTCAGACTTAAAGGTGTCTTAATTTTTGTAGACAGTCAACTCTTATTCCAGGCTTGTCACTTCATCCCCAATATCCTTTACATTGGTCTTGCACATATTTATCCTTCCCAGGCCAAACATCCAATACTTAGTCTTAAATATTCTTAAGTATACATGTACAATCTAGGTTCTACATTCTAAATGTAGAATCTGCATCATATAGATTCATGTATATCTGTTGTCGGACACCTGAACAATTTTGGATCTATTTTCACTGCTGTAGAAGAATGTATGTTGTAAGAACATATGGATCATTTAATTCTATGCTAGCAAGTAAGCTTGAAAACTTACTCAGTTCAAGCACATATTGAAAAGTATGGTAATAGTTTCTTGCAGGCTTTTAGAAATCTGTAGAGAAAAGGACCACTAACAGGTGTCCTTTAGTGGGAGAATGGTCTATTGTAAGATTTTCAGTGTTTATTAATTCTTGGATGACCATATGAAAACTGTCTCTCTCACTGTACTTAGACTCTCTAGTATTAGATAAATTCAAGAGAGGGAGCTTGTAAGAATTTCTGACCTAACACACCACCTAGTTTCACATCTATATTGGTTTCTTAGTTGCTGAGTGTTAAGACTATATGGTGTGTGTCTATTTGTCTAATTTAGGTTGTTTTGTCACCTGGTAGTCACCTGTTAGCAGCTGCTGGTCATCTTTTCTTTTCTTTTTTCTTTTTTTTTTTTTTTTTTTTTTTTGGAATTAGTGTTTTTTCCAGTAAAACATTTTCTCCTCCCTTTTTTTTTTTTTTCTTTTTTTTTTTTTTTCCCCTCTTCTTTACTTCCATTTGACTTCAACTCTCCTTTAGATTTATTGAATTTTTCTTGAAAATTGAATTTGGGATTTTCACAAGCAATCAAGTGAGTAATAAGTGCAGCAAAGAGACTTGAACATTTCTTAAAATCCTGTTAAAATAGCAGGCACAGGATAGAATTAATTTTTGAGTATTTGCACAGTCTTACTGGAGTATCATTATTTGAATGAAAATTAACCTGGCTATTTCAAATCATATGTGATAAATTAATGGGTAAAGTTATATTCTCATTTTAAATTGAAACCATTCCATGAGGCCTGAGAAGGAAGGTTTTTTTTTTCAAGCTTATAATCACTATTTGAAATGTATGTCTATGTGTTTGTCTCCCTTCATTTATGAGTTATCTGTTTTAAACTAGTCTCAGAATTCCAGGATAGCTGGGATTGAAATGGACCTCTGGAGATCATCTATTGCCTCAAGCAGAGACACATAGAACAGGTTGCACAGGACTGTGTCCAGATGGCTTTTGAACATCTCCAAGGATGGAGACTCCACAATCTCTTTGGGCAAGCTGTCCCAGAGCTATTTTATACTAACAGTAAAAAGCTTTTCCTTATGTTCAGATGGAATTTCCTGTGGTTCAGTTTGTTGCCCATTGCTCCTTGTCCTGTCAGTGGGTGTCATGGAGAAGAGTCTGCTTCTGTCTTCMTTACATTCTCCTTTCAGGAATTTATACATATTTATAAGATCTCCCCCTAAGTCTACTCCAGGCTAAACACTCTTCACTTTCTTAAGCTTTTTTTTTATATGAGAGAAGCTGTAGTCCCTTAATCCTCTTTGTAGTCTTTCGTTGGACTCACTCCATATGCCCATATGTCTCCATATAGCTCCATATGTCTCTTGTACTGTGGATTCCAGAACTGGATGCAGTACTCCAGATGTGGCCTCTCTAGGGCTGACTAGAGGAAACAGATCACCTCTTTTAACCTGCTGGCAATGCTCTTCCTAACACGACCCTGTATACCATTGGCCTTCTTAAAGGGTAGTTCTCCCTCSTCACCTTCCCAGTGTGTTCTTGTATCTATCCATTGCAGCATTCCGGTTTTCCCCCTRCCATTAGGATCAAGAACACCATGCAGACCTCCACGCCCTCCATCACTACCTCCAGAGGGAGGTAGTCATATTTGGTACTTTCCAGGTCTCTTCTGGCAGTATTGTTAGCATCCACATGTAAGACAGCAGAGAGCAATAATTTGGGGGATGGACACGCTTTAGCAGCACCTCCACTACATCATATATGTGAGCCCCTGGCAAGCAGGGACCCCAGAGAGCAGGTCAGGTCAGCAGATTGGCTGCTGTCACAGCAGGGAGTCCTACTACCAACATCACAGCCTCCTCCTGGTGCTCATGGGTGGTGAGGCTTAGCTTGCACAGGTGCTCCATTTGAGAATGCTCCCAGTTCCTGGATCGATTCTGAAGTGTCAGGTCTTCTGATAGTACAGGAGCCCTTATCTTCATACCAGAAGGCACCAACTTTAAGCGTTTGCCATCACTGGAGTTTCCATTTTATTAAGGACCTCCCTAATTAGAGTTTGACTGGAACAAAGGTCCTAGCAACCTCCCATCAAGGGCAACCACAGAGCTTGTTAATAGCTGCTAGAATGCTTCTGGAGAAGTTCAGGCATCCTGTGGCTGTCCTTGCCTGTCTTTCCTTACCTGTCAGCAGTAGGCCTCCTGATAGTTCCTCAAAGATTTTCCAGAAATGCCCTAACAACCTCCAGCAAAGTCCCCAGAAGACCTAAGCAGAAACTGCCAGAAGCTGCACAAACTGCCGTGACTGCTGCTATCTCTGTTACCTGCGCTCTGRGAGCAACATTCTGGGCCTGCCTTTTATATAGGCTTCTCCCCAGCACTAGCTAAAAGGTTGTTGACCATCCCTAAACCTGTCAAAGCACTACCCTTTCCATATTGAGGTTCTTTCTGGAGGGATCTTTTCTTCTCTATGTGTAGGAGAAATCAACTGATTAACACTGGAAGTGAAGCTCTGCCATAAACGCAATTTTTGTTATCATGTCACTGTTATTCCACATTGGACCCCTCTGTGTGTCTCGACACCTGGAAATGTCTGCCGTCTTTCTGCCATGCATTCTTTCATCCTGCTCAAACCAAGCAGATCCCTTTTGCAAGACCCTAAAGATACCACTGTTGATAGTGATCCTGTTGAAATCACTTAAACAACCTACGTTGGACCCAGCTGTCCCAAGTACCCTCAAAAATAAAATTTTGGACTCGATGGACACGGCTGCACTAGACCTTTGCTATTGTCTTGAGCCTCACTCCGGAGGAGACGTTGGTAGGTATAAGCCCACATTTCCAGKCTAACAGAAGCTCCTTAGCAGTGCAGGCAGTTTCAAATGGAATGTGCTGGCATGCTACTTCCTCTGCTTTCTGTAAGGGCTCTGATACAGGCAAGAACTCGTTTATATCAGTCTAGGAAGTTTTCCCTCAGGCCTCTCTGAGATACTGATCTTCTATCACGACCTTCTTTTGAAAGTGGAAGCTTTTTGCAGTTATCACATTTGTCATAAATGTCAAGGAAGAGGGGAGAGGTCTTGCAGCACTGCAGTTTCCCAACCTCCAATTCCATTTGCAAAAGTCCCACAGTGCATAGGATGTTRGTCTATGAACCTTTCAGTTTGTTCTAGAAGGTGGATTGTGGTTTGAACCTACATGACACTGCTGCCTCAGTAATACTTTAGTAAAGCATAGCACTTTCTTGCCCAGCAGAGCTGTTACTGATCCTTTTACTAGGATCTCCTTACTCTCCTCCCCCATGAGGGAGCCTCACTCACTAGCCTCCATCATGAGCCCCAAAACACTAGGTTTACAGGTGAAACTCCACGTCACGTGAACAAAGCATCCACTTGCAATTTGTGCTTCAGACCCTCCATTTTCTCACCTTCATGCGTGCCCAAAKACAAAGTAGAAGAAACTGCTACCTCTGCAAATGGTAAAGATCATTTGTCAGCCTCTATTCCATATTATTTGGCAAACCATCAAGCTGTAGTAATTTGATGCTCTTCATTTTGTCTGTGCTGTCTCTTGCCCTTTATACTGGTATTTCAATTTGAGGGAGATCCTGGATAACCTCTATGGTCCAGTTTTACAGTTTCATCCTGTGTTGTCCCTGCAGACATTTTGGCAGGATACTTTCCTTGGTGTGTTTAAGATTTTTTTTTTTTTTTTAACGTTTATGTCAGCTGCAAAATTTTCCTTACCTATTTTACTGTATTTTTGTATTTAACCTTCTAGAAATTGTTCTTATTTATATTTTCTGTATTTTGACAAAATTTAAGGTTTCTAAGACTGCCCTTTCTAAGACTTCCCTTTTTCTGCAGTTTAGCTATCCTTGTTTTCTTTTGTTCTTTCTGAGGGCTTTCTTGAATATGTTATGCATTTGTTCTGAGCCTCTTCTCAAGGTCAAGCTACTTTTGATTTATGACCAGAAAAGCAGAAATGCAGCTTTTTAAAACATCTGTTCAAGTTCCTGCTTTATTTCTGCTTACTCTCAATAGTAAGCTTACAGAAAATAGAATATTACAGAGAGGATCAAAATACACAGCTTGGGGATATAGCACAGAGGATGAGGGAAGCAGGTATTCTAAAACAACTGATTCACTGTCTGTGTCTTTATTTTTCCAGGGGAGCCGACTGGATGAACAAAGATGCTTCCTACCAGCTCCTCTCAAGGTCAGGATAGGTCATTGTTGCTATGTAAGTTACTGAGCATGACAGATAATTTCTGATCTGCTTTGCCCTGTGTTTTCTCATTGAAGTAAACTAGTAGCCTACAGACAGCTGAAAAACATATATCTGTCTGTCTATCTATATTTTTCTTAAGCTATGGAAATTGCTACCATGATGCAAAGAGCTGAAATGGAATGAGAACTCCTTTTCAAATTTAAGTGGTTCCAATTAGTCTGTTTAATATTATTAACAGCCTTAGTTTTGAATATTTTTTTTAATTTAAGAATTTTACCTTTAGTCTGTTTTCAAAAATACTATTRTTTTGATTTGAGTACTCAGATTATAACTTCTAGAAGGCTGGYCTGCTTCCCTGAACATTGGGAACAACAGATTTCCATCTTGAAATCTCAGCTCTTCCACTCTCTCTTCCTTTAGTCTCTCTGCTATGTGGCCCAGTAACTTAAAATTAAACTTCACCTTGAAGTTAATTTTGGAATGACCTTTAAAAAAAAAAAAAAAAAAGAGAGAGCTACACTAGGAGCTAAGGATGTTATATAACTTTAGACTGACAAAGTAAATARCATACTCTGTGGTCATGGAAATTGAGCTAAAGAGACATTAATTTGGCATAAATAGCTCAGGCATTCTTCCTAATTTTGCAAAAATGCCTCAGCACTGCTCAGTTGTACACCATAGGTCTAGCTTTATGTTGACACATCTTTGATCTCACTGTAAATATAGTACTATTTCTATCATCCTACTGTCATCTCTCCCTGTAAACTATTCCCCTGTGCAGAAGAACAAAAGCAGTCTAACATTATGTGGAAGGAAGGGAGAAAGGCTATCACTTCTCACACAATTTAACTTGCACATTATTATCTGCAGGTTAGCCAAATACTTCATTTTGTATGCCTGCATTTTGTGTAGTTTTGAGGAAAAAGGATGAAATCTGGCTTCCGAGTTTATTGTTTCTGAAACTTCTCTATTATAATGCTGGGACCTGGGAAATAGAGTCTAGTATATAATCCTAAGATAAAAATTTCTGGATGGGTTAGGGCTGAAGCTTTAGCTGGGGACACAGTTTCAGTTATCACAAGAGCATAGCATTTAAAAGATCTCTCACATTTTTCTTAATGGTCCCTTATGATTTCAGACAGAAGAGGAGTATATTCCTTATCCCAGCATTCATGAGGTGAGTTATTTCTGCTCTTGTTTTTCCCTTGGGCTTTATTGGCCTATCAAGTTAAGAGAACATCATGTTYTCTCTATCCTTCTGAATAGGTGTTACAGAAAGGGTGGCCTTATCCTCTCATTATCTTACCCCAGTTTGGGGGCTACTGGATTGAAGGGACCAGCCACAGCCTCTCCGGCTTGAATCCAACTCTGTCTGACATACCATTTCCCTGGAGTGGTAAAGTGAAACTGGAGAGTGATCCTACAGCCAAGTTGTACCGCAAGCATTTCCTGGGGAAGGTAAGAGTGACTTCCAGGGCCTTCTCTGCTCACCAGTCTCAAGGCTGAATTTACCTCAAGCTCTTCCTGGGGGATTTAGAAATAACTGCCAAGTATTTCATCTCATTGCCTCCCATGGAGGTCTGGACTAATGTGAATAAGATCCATTTTACYACATTGACAGTAATCTGTTAAGTTGATCCTCTTGTGACCTGTCTGTGCTTCAGGATATTAACAGGAGGGAAACACTTGTCCTCGAAAAAGCTTGTGTTCAATTAAGAGGCTCTTTTGATGCTTGGAGACTGATAGCAACTTTGGGATCATGAAGGAAAAAAAGTGTAATAATATTAGAATATGTGAATAATATTGTATATATGATCAAAACCTTTGGCATTAATGGTGCAAAACTCAATAGTGAGCAAAATGGCTCATTTTTATCACTAAAGAAAAAGTAGCTAGCATGGTGATTGCACAGTTCTGGTCACCAAAGGATATCTGTGAGAGAAATAAAGAACGAGATGAGCAGGGAGCTCCTGGCAAAACTCAAGCAGAAAGCAGTATACAGAATGTGGAAGAAAGGACAGGCCCCTTGGAACGTTGTCAGGGAAGGCAGGTATGCAACAAGGAAAGGTAAGTTACATTTGGAACAAGATCTGACAGGGYATGTTAAAAATAATAAGAGCTTCTTCAAATGGCATCAGTGGCAAAAGGAAGATGAGGGAACACGTAGGTCCACTGGTGAAYAGGGTCAGTGCCCTGGTTTTGAAAAACACAAAAAAAGCAGACTTGCTGAATGCCGCCTTTGTTTCAGTGTTTACCAAGGGCAGCCCTCTGGAATCCCAGGCCCTAGGGACAAGAGAAGAAGCTTGGAGAGAGGAAGACTTGCCCTGGGTAGAGGAAGATTGGGTCAGAGAGCACCTAAGGAAACTCGACACCCACAAATCCATGGGCCCTGATGGGATGCACCCCAGAGTGCTGGGTGAGCTGGCAGATGTTATAGCTAAGCCACTCGCCATCATCTTCAAAAGGTCCTGGAGAATAAGGGAAGTGCCCGAGGACTGGAAGAAAGCCAATGTCACACCAGTCTTCAGAAAGGGCAAGAAGGAGGACCCAGACAACTACAGGCCAGTCAGTCTCACCTCCATCCCTGGAAAAGTGATGGAACAACTCATGCTTGCTGTTGTCTCCAAGCGCATGGAGGACAAGAAGGTGCTCAGGAGTAGCCAGCATGGATTCACCAAGGGGAAATCATGCTTGACTAACCTGATAGCCTCCTTGATGGAATGATGAGCTAGATAGATGAGGGGAGAGTGGTGGATGTCATCTACCTGGATGTCAACAAGGTTTTTGACATCGTCCCTCACAACATCCTCCTGGGCAAGCTCCAGAGGTATGGGATGAGTAGATGGTGATCTGGACAGAGAACTGACTGGATGGCGAGCTCAGAGGGTGGTGATCAGTGGCGCTGAGTCCAGTCGGARGCCTGTAGTTAGCGGTGTTCCCCAGGGGTCAGTCCTCGGTCTGGTCCTATTCAATTTATTCATCAGTGACCTGGATGAAGGCAGAGTGCCCCCTTAACAACTTTGCCGATGATACCAAACTGGGAGGAGTAGCTGATAGCCCTGAGGTCTGTGCTGCCATCCAGAGGGACCTGGACAGACTGGACAACTGGGCGGTGAGAAACCTCATGAAGTTCAACATGGGCAAATGCAGGGTCCTGCAGCTGGAGAGGAATAACCACAGACACCAGTACAGGCGGGGGACTGACCTTCTGGAGAGCAGCCATGCAAAGAGGGACCTGGGTGTCATGGTGGACGACAAGTTGACCATGAGGCAGCAGTGTGCCCTGGTGGCCAAGAAGGCCAACGGGATCCTGGGGTGCATTAAGAAGAGCGTCTCCAGCAGGTCAAGAGAGGTGATTGTCCCTCTCTACTCAGCTCTGGTGAGGCCACAACAGTGTCCAGCTCTGGGCTCCCCAGTACAAGAGGAATGTGGAGCTGCTGGAGAGAGTCCAGCGCAGGACTACCAGGATGATCAGGGGCCTGGAACATCTGCYCTMTGAGCAAAGGCTGAGGGAGCTGGGTCTGTTCAGCCTGGAGAAGAGAAGGCTGAGGGGAGACCTGATCAGTGTCTGTTAATACCTCAAGGGAGGGAGTGAGGAGGAGGAGGGGATGGCRTCTTTTCAGTGGTGGCCATCRACAGGACTAGAGGAAATGGCCACAAACTGAAGCACCAAAAGTTCTGCAGAAAATTAACTATTTCCTAACAGTGAGGGTGACAGAGCCCTGGCACAGGCTGCCCAGAGGGGTTGTGGAATCTCCTTCTCTGGAGATCTTCAAAACCTGCTTGAATGCAGCCCTGTGCCACATGCTCTAGATGTGCAAGGAGGTTGGACTAGATCTCTAAAGGTCCCTTCCAACCTTAAGGATTCTATTATTCTATGAATGGGGTTTGTAGTAGTTTGATTTAGGTAAGCTTGGTGTTAAGTGTTCCTTGTGTTAAACAAAATCTGATTTGATAGATAGGGAAGCAGGGCTTGGCCTCAGAAGGTGAACATTTCTCCATCTATCCATCCACATTGGCTTTTTTAGGGAAATAGTTGATTCTGAGATTGAATCTTGAGATCATAGTAACCATCAAGAGCACTTGAGAACAAATTCAATCTGTTCTGCGACTCATTTCATAGGATGAGGAGAACAGAAATCCTGGTGAATGCCTTCATGCTATGGCTTATTCAGTGAATTATCTCTGTGACTACTTGTRAAGTTTAAAAACAGAAGTACTGGAATTTTGAGCAGCTGTGCTGGAGTCTAGTGAGCGGTAGTCAGATTTGTCTGAATGATCATGTGTAGTATATAACACTAGAAACAAACCAATGTTAATATCATATTAAAAACCTTTCCCAGAAGCTTTTTCTCAGGGCTGACAGGTCTGTTCTACAGCCTGTTAACATTTTGGATGTTTTGGGATGTTCTGGAATGTTTGGAACGTTTGGGACGTTTTGGAATCCTTCAATATGCCAACTGTAATTATTTCTCTGTCATGGTAAAGTTGGGGTTGAGCCGGAATGTTTCTAGAAGTAGCTACATACAAGATAATTGGGGTATGATTTTTGGTCTAGTTGTAGTATTTCTGCTCACCTAATACCGTCAATGCTCATTCCAAATGAAGATCCAGGATTTCACTTTCCATCAGACTTTATATAATTGCAAAATGAAGAGTACTAAATAACTAACAGTACAACCATCAGTGTTTCAGTACTATAGAAGAACTCCTTTCTCCTACATTCTTCCTTTTCTAGTGGTGAACAAAACATGCTTAGTTCATTCCACAAGCAAAAAGTAACCGATCTAGGCCCAGAAAAGTTAATGCAAATGTAGCACTGCTTTTTGGATGCAACTTACCAGAATTTTCTTCAGCCCATTCAAATGTTCATCAAGCCCTCTGTTTTCACAGTCTTTTTTGAGTTAAATGACAGTATTTGATATTGGATAAAAGGTAGATCTTTTGGTGTAAACAGACACAGATTGTTGCACAAAGGATGTTGAGCTTTATATGCACAAAGATTTGATTATGATTTATTTGTGAAATCTGTAGTTGATGGCATACATGGACTTTTAGCAGTAGACATTACTTATTCTGCTGATACTGCTGATTGGCAAGCATTTTGGTAAAGAGCAGGTGTTGAATAGTGAGTGATTGCTATTTCTGTGCATGCACGTTACTGGGTAATGCTTACTGGCTGTTTAAATTACTTCATTATTCAATATATCTTGTTTTCCCTGTTTCCTAAAAACTGCAAACAAGGGTTAAAAAWCAGGCAGGAGGTAGAATAGATCATTCTCACACTCTAATCAATTCATTTTTGAAGGAATCCTGCTTGAACAGAATTATTGCAGAGTAATGATTTGTGTTGGAAAGCAYGTTCTGGAAATCATCTGGCCCAACACTCCTGTTCGAGCAGGTTACGCAGGACAGTGGCCAGTCAGATTTTGAATATCTCTGATGTTAGAAACTCTACAACCTTGCTGGACAATCTGTTCCAGTGTTCAACTGCCCTTCACAGTGGAAAAAAAAATGTTTTCTTATGATCAGATGGAATTTTCTGTATTTGACTTTGTGCCCATTGCYTTTTGTCCTGCTACTTGGTACTTCTGAGAAGAGTCTCCCCATCACAGAGAGTGACATTTGCACATGCAAGACATAAGTAAGGCAGCACAAAAACAGTGGTATGGGAACAAGAGTAACCACAATAATTTTGGAAAAACTCTGCCACAGCTGTTTGTGTGGAATGTAAATGTGAAAGCCAAATTATAGAATTGCTATTGGAAGGCCCTTAACATTACAGAGGTGAAGGCACTTTGCAATGTAAAGTATATTGAATGTCCACTGAGGTGGACAGAAATGAGACTGTATATGCTGAAAAAAATAATCTGTGAAAAAAATAACTAAATCATTATTAAATTATGTTCTGCTCTGAGCAGTTAGACAGTTTTTCACTCAATGTTTGCAGGTAAGAATATTACACAATATTTGTATGTGGGAAAGAAATAGCAGTATTTTCACTTGAGAAACACAAGAAAATGAAAAAGTAGTGGACAGAACATTTTGACAAGAGGGGTGTTAGTCTTAATTGAAATGAATCTGTATCTGTGTCATTAAACATGTAAGTCAGTGAGCAAGGCTGTACCACAAAAGAACGACGTGAACAGGACTCCTATTTCCATCACAGAAAACTCTACCAGATGTCATGGGTATGAAAGGTTGCAAATGCTCGCTGGATCGGACTTGGACTGTGGAAGCTCTTTATGTAAACGTGGCAGTGTGCATGGCTTAAAAGCTTAGGTAAGGAAAGAGTTCACAGCTTTTCCACGAGGAATTTATTTCTTCAGTTCAAAGTTGGAGATACCAGTAATTTCATGTGTATGGCCTGGGTTGTCATCTTGCTGAAAACTTGGGAAGTTTATTTCAGAAAGGTTAAAAAAAAAAGGGAGCTTTTGCATGTTCTGAATAGCTAGCCATTTTTTAGTCTGCAAAGAGTCCATAATTTTATTACTCTTTTTTTTATAGATCTTTATTCTAGAGAATAGAGTATAGCTGGACATTTTTTTTGTGGGTGTGCATATGCTAAGTCATTCAAACCCAGACAATTGTTTTGGCCCTTTTTACAGAACAACTTACAGCAGACCCTGCAAAACAAACAAACAAACAAACAAATGTTCTAAGACATACAAGCCAYTACTCAGTTCCTTTCCTTTATTTCATGATCTGAATTTGGTTTTATGATGATTACACAGTAAGATTCACTTTGGCTCTAGAAAGAAGACTTTAAGAGCTTGTGTTACACTGGAAGATGTTAACTGCAAAAGTTGTCTTCAGAAGGCTATAATAAAAGTAGCTGAGGTAAGAAAATTTTAATACTGATGTACTATGGAAATGCCAGTTGAAGAATCTTAGGGTGCAGTTTCATAAAGACTTTAAGTTGGCACTGCAGATGAAAGAAGAAAATCCTCCCTTGCTTTTACAAGTGGTCGTGTATTGTTCCGTTATGCTGTGCCTTTGAGCTCAAGTACTGCTGCAGTTCTGTGAACTGTTTTGGGAAACTAATTCAGATTAAAACTGATCAATAAAATAATGGCAAGAAACTTCATCTTAAATTATGAATGCGAAATTCTGATTAAACCTCGGAGAAAAAGGCAGAAACTATTTATATACCAAATCACTCAAAGGGCATTTTTATTAAATAGGTATAATTTTAATTATGTCCTTTGTTATTTTAAGGTTTCTGTTATATCATTTCATTACTGCAAGGCTATGCTTTCAGTAAACATGTTCTCTGACTTGTCAAGACTTCAAGTCTTTTCATATTTAGGATTTTTATTTTTTTAACTGGCATGCAAATGCATGTGTTCAGGTGCCTGATACTGTTTTCCTATCATGATAAGCTCTCATCAGCCCAAGATTCTTTTTTTTTCAGTTTTCTCCAAGCAGAGATTCAGGGAAGGCCTGAACGGAGACAACCTTATCAGGTATTATTTTGGAACCTACCCTGCCTTAGTGGTTCTTTGTTCTGAAGTTGCCAGCAATTATACTAGTTTTTAGGTCTTTGTTTTCATTTGATTGGCAAATGAAACTTTACTCTCCTTCAGTAAGATGGCTTGCTGGAATCATGATGCTGGCCGACCACTGCCATAAGCTCTTTAATTATCTATCGCTGTTTGGATATTCACGTATATTCAGGTATATTTGTCTTCCCATTTGTGCTCATGTAATYATTTGGTCACCTACCAGGTGACCAGATGTTACTGGGTTTTTTTTTCGAGTTGATCATTTTTGTTTTTTTCTCAAAGGAAGAGAATGGGCAAATGAATCCATTTCGATTGCTGTAAAGATCTTTTCATGTTCTCTGACTTCATATGATCATATTGCCAAAAAAAAAAGGAAGATTTCTTTTACTTTCATCTGGTGCTGCTACTGAGTAGTCAAAATAATTCTATTTCACCAACAAAAACAAGCAGTTAAGAATATGGCCGATACCTTTATAACTTTGCAAGTGAAATGTCAGCACTCCTGGCCTCTTCTCTCAACTCTTTCTCTTGGCCTCATGAAAGATACCTAGTTGTCTTTGACAGAGATCCATTTGACATCCAAACCTTTATTTCAGACTACCTCCAATGTTGCACTGTTTCTATGACTCTGACCAACATTGTCATCTTGGCTTCAGGGTATCTTGTCACCGAGTTGCAGTCTTCTGTGTAAGCTATTTAGCTTTTCAATAGTTCACCTCTGTTTAGCACTRACAGACAAAGATAAATGTTGTTGCATGTTGAAGAACTCCGCCTTCTGCCCCCGCTGTGTTTTCATAGGGAAAGAAAATCAAAGGAGGAAGAAAAAGCCTTAAGGAGGAAGATACTTTTTTTTTTTCATAGTTAGTATTACACAGATCTCAATTTATAACCTAGGTTTACACTCAGGATAAACCTAGGCAGACAGAGTAGCTTGAAAGGTGACAAAAAAACAGTTATTTTAGGACCTCCATATCTCCTCCCTTGGTAAAGATTGCACCCCTTCATGCATTCTGTCTGGCTATGGCCAGTTGCAGAACTGATACAGTGCACTCCCCACAGCAGTTAAGATTCCAGTAAGTCAGACTGGCTGGAATCTGGCTCAGGAATCTCATTGAACAGCATTCTGGTTTCTCGTCTTGAAGTTCAGTGTGACTTTCAGCTGCAGTTAACTTCAGACATTTTGATTATACTTTTCAAGCCAACAGATGACAGACAACGCTACCTTTAGGAAGTATATCAGCAAACAAGATGGCTTTTGAAACTCATCTCTGTGCTGATGCGTGACTCTTCTCATAGCTCATGTGTGATATTTGCAAACGAAAATTTCCCCATTCAGGTGTATAAAGCTTATTTCCTGGGAGTTTTTAGCATTTTAGTGAGTGACACAGGCTTTTTTTTTTTTTTTTTTTTTTTTTCCCCTGACATAACCACAAATGGTTCTGGATATCTTGAGGTGTATCATCTGGGATTTGGAACATCTCAAGATTTCTCTGCAAATGAAACCAAAAAATAGCCTTGATTTTCTGTTCTGTGCTGAGGATCTCTGTGGATACATTTCTGATTCCATGGTGAGCAGATTGCAATATAGCCTTCTTCTGATTTTCATTTTAACTCCCAACATGCTTCCCAGAGAAGTTTCACCAAATTTTCACGTAAAAACTATCATTCAAGGTTAGTTTACTTGTTTTCTTTAACCAGCAATGGCATGTTTGAGGATATTAATATGCTGCCTCACAGTCACCTTTGCAACCAACACTTGTACTTATGTACATAGCACAAAGTTCATCCCTTGTCACTTGACTTCCTTCTCAGCTATAGTCTATTTCTAAAAGCCTATTCTTGAAAGTGTCCTGAGAAGGAAGAATGAGAACTTTTCAACAACACATTTGGAAGARCTCTATTTTCTTGTAAATTACTTTTATTCTTAGGTTTGAGAGACTGTCTGTGTATCTGTTCACACTGTGTAACTAAGCAGTGATCTCTATCATATTCAAGCGGTCATGGAAATTTTCTATATGAACAGTGCTGGCCAGATAATAATATCAAATACAGTATCACTTATGGCTGCTCTCTAAGCATGATAGGAATAATCTACTTTGACTTTCTTGTTTTCAGGAGCACCAGAACTTTTACTCCAGTGACACATCCTTGGGTTACCTGGTACTTTCAGTGAAATATGAACAGATCGACAAACAAGAAAATCTTCGCCTGTTATTGAGGTAACCATGTCTGTTCTTGAAGCGTTTGGTACTTCATGATTCAAAGACATAAGAAGGTACTGATAGTTCTACTTGTTGTAGTGTAGCAGAGATGATTTTGCTTCTTTCAGGATTCTATTGGGTTATTTGGTTGTTTTCTTTTTTCTTTTTGTCTTTTCTTTTWTTTTTTTTTTTATTTTTTAATAACAAGGACTCTTACTCCTATGTCTCATCATTACTAACACGGAAGTACAGTGTATAATGCCTCTCTCATTTTATTCTATTTCCTGGATTGGAGACTAAAAATTGGAATGTAGTGGTGTCCCTTGAAAGATTAACATATTAAGATATGGATCTAATCTAATCAAAAGAGAATTGGGTAGCATTAGGTCCCCTGCATGAATTTCTTATTCATTTCTCTCTCCTGCTCATATATCAATCCCAATAAATCTGGGCTAATTGCTAATAGCAGAAGAGTTTGTTCTCTCTCTTTGTTCAGTCAGTTTATATACAAACCAACTCCATTTATGAATTGCCCATAAAATGTTTTTATTTTATTTTATTTTATTTTATTTTATTTTATTTTATTTTATTTTATTTTATTTATTTTATTTTATTTTATTTTATTTTATTTTATTTTATTTTATTTTATTTTATTTTATTTTATTTTATTTTATGGTGATTACTTCTGCTAGGAAGATGGGAGAGATCTAAATCTTTCTGGATAATTCCACCCACACAATGCAGTAACTTTCCCAATATGTGGGTGCCATTAGAGTAACCTCTGAGCCTTCTTTTTTTGCCTTCCCTTTTGAGCTTCTCTCAGCAGTTTTCTTCAAGAAGCTGAAGTGGTGTTTTCAGGCACATCTTCAGAGTTGCTGTGTAAAAAACTTTTCCCTAAAAAAGAAAAAGCTTTTTGTCTTTGTTCTGTTTACTTAGAGACACATGAACACTCTCTGGGAGAAGATGCATGCTGTGGTAAGAGGGCAGTCTAGCTCAGGCCTAACTTCATACTCAAGACTAAGGATTATCTGTCAGTGAGCTGGTACATTCATTCACTTTCCAAGGCAGCCTTCAAAATAAATTAACTTTTGGGGGTTTCACCCCCAACCATTTAGGGTTCCACAGAACACCATTACCCAGAGATAGATGCTGAATAAATTAGAGGATGAGCAAAGTTCATCTTTGTAGTGTAGTTGTAGTGTTTTTAAGTGCTAGGTTTAAAATTAATCCTCTGGAATTAATTGCTTTAAGGATCGACCTGAAGGAATAGATGCCATTTGTTTAAAGAGCGAGATTTGTTTATGTCTCCCTCAGCATTTGCTCTAACTTTAGGACTCGAACTGGCACCAGACATGATCTCATCCCTATTTCCTGTCTGAATGAGTTTCCCAATGCTGTCCAAATGGCAAAGGTGAGATCCATGTTTGCCTGTTTACACCATGAGTCTATCTCTGCCTCTCACAACCCCRATCCTCCAATTCATTTTCACATCTCTGTCCTCACATTTCCCTCTTTTTTACTATTCTCTATTAGTACTGACATATACTTCCTTTTTGTGCTTCTATGTAGCTTCTTTTCTCTCTCTTCTTCTAATTTTACCTTAAAATTTCCTCCAGAAAGGACTTCTGTCAAATTATTATTAATAATGTTCCCGCTGTCATAACAGCAGCAWACAAGAATACACTTTGATAACACCTCTCTCTGCCTGTCTCTCTCTCRATAGCTTCTGTGCGAGGATGTGAATGTTGAACGATTCTTTCCTGTCCTCTATCCTAAGGTATAATGTACTGTTATGTCTGTATGTGCTTTGCCATTTAGGACTGACTGGTGAGATTAATATATAATTGTGTTTTTTCACTTTTCATTTCTTCAGGCTTCACAGCTTATTGTGGCATTTGATGAACATGTCATAAGCAATAATTTTAAATTTGGGGTCATCTACCAGAAACCTGGGCAGGTAAGCTCCCTCTTTACTTGAGATCCCAAGGTATTTGAGGCCAAACACAGAGTAAGTTCTTTTAACTTAAATGTGATAACAGGGTCTATTATCCTGTGGAAAATACAGACTCCATAAAATGTAAGGATACCAGCTTGCCTTATATTGATTCATTTACTTTCTTTGTACAGGATCTCAAAGCTGCTAGGATGTGTTTATAAGTCATTGTCTGTTCTTTGTACTGATTGTGCTTTTTATCATTTTCTTTTCCTTTTGAAGACAACTGAAGAAGAAGTCTTCAGTAACACAGAAGAGAGTCTGGGCTTCCTGGAGTTCTTGGATTTCCTGGGTGAAAGGATTCAGCTGCAAGATTTTCGTGGGTGTGTAACCAGTACAGTTAGAAAGTCAATACTGAATTGAGTTAGGGAGCACTGCTTATGATGCTTCATCATTGAATGAACAACTCTTAAAGCTCTGCTTTCATAAAAGCCCTATCTTCTGGGAATCCCAGTGCAGGTGTAGGAAACCAGAAAGCTTTTGTCTGTCATTCTCTCTGTGAGCCAGTTGGGAGTTCAGATCTCTCCTGGCAGTTTTCATTTTCAAGTCTGATAGGATCTTGATGTGGCCCATCAGCAAAGAATAATTTATTTAGATTGTGTGAATGCAAGTGTATTTTACAAAGCCATAGGATGTTTTTTGTCTGTTTCTGTATGGTTGTGTTTCTCAGAGAATGCCAAAGAATGGGGTTCTTCTAAGAACTGCTGGTTTGGTTTTTTGTTTTTTAATAAGCAAGGGAGTTAATCAGCAGAAACACAGTGAATTTTCACTGATTTCATTAACTTTGGGAAGATATGGTGCCCCTCTGTCACTGTTTTCTTAAATACTACCTTTGCTAATGTTTATGTACGAGCTAGTGTTACTTACATCTTCTTTCTTCTCTCCACATTCTTATCTCTCTCACCTCTGTCCTGCCCTGTGTATCACACGGTATTGATTTATTCAGGTTCCGGGGAGGCTTGGATGTCACTAGGGGTCAAACGGGCACTGAATCGGTCTATACAAATTTCCGGGGCAAGGAGATCATGTTTCATGTGTCTACAAAGCTGCCCTTCACTGAGGGAGATTCCCAGCAGGTATTGTAAGGAGAGCTGAGGAATTCAATAGGGTGGATGAGAGGGGTTTTTGATGAGGGGCTAGTTTGAGGGAGAATGCCTAACTGCTGAAATGTTGGGAATTAAAACTGAARTAATGGTAAAAGAGGTGATGAGGGTTTTGACTGAGGAGATGGCATGGGTTGGAGATACTGGACAGACTGATGTTTGAAGAGGGAGGCTCTGTCTTACTGTTCTGCTTTTTTTTTTTCCCCTGCATCCCGATTTTATTACTTCTTTATACTCAAATATCTTATAATTTATTTATACTTATTATTTCATTCTCACCAGCTTCAGCGGAAGCGTCACATTGGGAATGACATTGTAGCCATCATCTTCCAGGATGAAAACACACCTTTTGTTCCTGATATGATTGCTTCTAATTTCTTACATGCTTATGTGGTAATTCAACTCACTCACAGCACCAGTGGGGAGACTCTCTACAAGGTAAATGGAATCAATTGTGGTGATTTAGTGGTACTGATCCTTGAAGGAGAAATATGTTCTTTGATCCTTAGGAGAGGTTCAACCGATGGTAATCCCAACAGCTCTGCTTCCTCTGTCAATCAATGCTATCAATGTTACCAGTGAAATTAAGTCTATTATCAATAAACACATAAATCCAATGGCTGCCACCTGCTCTCCTTTCCCTTCATTCACTCGTTGATCTCTGTATTTTTTACTGTATTTTTTTTTCTTGTTTTCTTTCAGGTTTCAGTCACAGCCCGAGATGATGTCCCCTTCTTTGGGCCCTCTCTTCCAAATCCAGCCATATTTAGAAAGGTTTGTGTCTCTGATTCAGTATTACATGGCAAGGAGATGTATTTTTATCATATATATCTATTTATTTTTATATTTTTAAATATATTTTACATTATCATTTGTATATATTCTAGATTATATTTCCGCAAATTTCATGTATAAATGTTTAATTTTTATTACTTTTATTCTGATTCAGTGTTTTCAGTCTAGCTAGATGACTTTGGAAGTCTAAAGAGTAGCCAGGCAGAGCTCTTCACATCTGATACCTATACAGCTGTCTTCATCTCCAGTCTGGTCTTCATTTCCAGTCTAGTCTTCATCTTATCTTATAGAGTGCAGAGTTTCGGGAGTTTCTCCTGGCCAAGCTCATCAATGCTGAGTATAGCTGCTACCGATCAGAAAAATTTGCTAAATTAGAGGTGGGTTTATTCTTACCTGTTTGTTCTTATTAAATTGATAAAGCTATGTTATCACCAGATTAAGAACATAGAGTATTTTTTTTTTCACTTTCCGCTTCTAATTTTGAGTTACTTAAGAAAGGAAGATTAAGTGTAATTGTGCTCAGCCATGTAATGCTTTTACAGTAGGTGTGACATGCACAGGTATCTTCTAATGTAAAGATTTAATCATCAGTTAAGAATGGGAGTACGATGCATACCTATTGCTGGAGGAAATTCTGTATTAGTGTGAGAGTCAGTATTGTTAGAAGGAGCATATCGATACCACTGATTTTGGTTCAAGGTACCAAAATTTTCTGCGTGACTCTGCTGCTTGCCTTTTGGATTACCTTGAAAAAGCTTTCCCATCAACCTATGCCTCACTCTCTACATCTGTAAAAATGTTTTAATGGCATTTATGCCATGTAAAGACAATCTGGTGTGGGATCCAAACACTTGGTTAGAGAGGGTTTAAAAGAGCTGAGTATTATTATAACTACAAAACTGAAATTGCTTCATATTATCTAAATTAATTTAGAGATACTGGGAAAACAGCATTAAAAAATCACAAAACAATAGTTTTGTTTGTTTGTTTGTTTTTCTTTCTACTGTTGGTGCAGGAGAGAACTCGGAGTGCCCTCTTGGAGAGCCTTTTTGAGGAGCTGCAGCTTCGTAGCCGCAGTATGATGGGCTTGTCTGTAGGGGAGGATGAAAAGATGGAGAACGGCAGTGGGGGTTTCTTTGAGAATTTTAAGGTGAGTCATGGCATATGGTAGCAGTTCCTTAGTCAGCTGCTTACACTCAATTCAAGCTCACTGTGTGTCCCTTCAATGAATATTGACCCTGCTGACCAGCTGTTCTTAAGATGAGACAGACAAGACATCTATCCCTACAGCAGTCTTTCTTTAGACCATCTTCAATTGTTCTTACCATATCTCAAGAAAAGACATTTTCCTATTCCCCTTTCTTAAGAGCTACAGTTTGGTCCAGTATGGCATGTCATATTGTTCCTAAAGAGTCAAACTCTTCATGATTCTGCTAGTATCTAGTTCCCAGATGGGTTTTCATTCACCGATGTATAGAAAGGAGAGTGAATGCTTGCAAGAGGAAGTGTTAAGAAATAGTAGGAAGCAGCAGATCTCCCTCAGTTCATTTTCATTATCACTGAGGGTTATAAGAATTGCATCTAATGATTACTTCTGACACACAGAAGTGTAATGTCTAGGAAAAGTGATGTTTTGCTTTCCTACTAAAAGCTCATTCCCTGTTGTTCAGCTTAGAGTGAGTACTTTTTATTTTGATCAGGATTAGGCGACAGGACCTGCTTTTACAAATACAAGATGATGCAAGAAAGTGGAGTTTGTGCATAAACAGGAAAATTAATTTAGACTGATTATATAGGAAGGATCTTACATCAGTTGTCTGAATATTTTGCCGTCCCATTTCAGTCTCATCTCTTCTTTTGTCTATCATGTTATTTGTCTGTACAAAGAGTCTTATTATAAATAGCATTGTTTCACCTAACTTCTTTGTGCTACTCTGGTGGCCTGATTGGATTTGCTAAGGGCTGTGGAACTAGTCCATTCACRTATCTGCATAGCTTAGGTCAGAACTGGAATGCTGTAGTGTGGTGTAAATTTATATCTACAATGCCTGTGTTGCCTTTGCTGCTAACCAGGAATTTCATAGCCATTCCACGTCTTTTCTGTGCTTTTATGACTTCTAGCAGGTACTGTGATCTGTATGTAATTATAAACATATGGCCTGTGTAGCTGACTGGAGAAGACTTAAGTAAACTCAGAAAATGACTTTAATTTTGATATTGCTACTTTCTCTTTGGGACTCAAATTTGTGCAAGACTGAACAGTACAATTCCAGATGATGCTGTCTTATGCAGCAAGTTGTGATACTGTTAGGAAATCTTTATTTGTTCAGGTAGGACAAAGAAGATGAAAGCAGAGAATATATTTGGAAAAAGTTCTTCCATGGCATCTAGGTTTGTGAATCAGCTAGGTCAAAAAATGTCTAGGTAATGTCTAGGATGCTGTCTTCTAGGAGTTAGGAGTTCTCTGGTACTTGTGTTGGTCTGTCCCAGCTTTCCACCCTCTCTCTCTGTGGTGTTTTTCGTTCTGTCCTACTGTGTGCATGCCTATAYGTGTATCTGTGCTTGTCTGTTTCCCTGCCTCCCTTCTGTTCAGCGAGTGATCAGAGGCCGCAGCCAGAGCCTGGATACCATGGGGATATCCATAAGGAAACAGCAACCAGCTACCCTGCCCAGCCGCACAACTGGTCTTGCTCTCAGCCAGAGCGTCGCCGAGGGCCCTAAGGCCATTGCCGCGGTAAGGTGCTAGGGTGGACTGTAAGAAACAATGTGGCACAGCTTGGGACCCAGCCATACAGTTTGTTTCTCCTTCCGAAGACAAAGGAGCTTTCTTCTTGTGAACGTCTTTTGGTTCTGTCACTCCATTTCACATGTGGTTTTAGACAGCATGTGTTGCGCTCTGTTTTGTCTATGCCTGTCTCCAGCACCAGTTCATTCATGAACTAGAGCTCAGATGATTGATACAAAGTGTGAAAATACAGGTAAACGTGACTTTACATCAAACATCTATATCTGCTATCCTGGATTAGATCCTGCAGAGTGTCAGAATTTAAAGAACTGTGGTTTGACTGGATTGGTGCTGTATTTGTCTAATGACAAGGGCTAAGACTGTTGAGATACTAGAACTGTTTCATTTTACAGTTTCACAAGTCAAAATTTTTCTCTGTGATATAGATAACAGCATAGTGTTTATTCAAGATGTTGTTTTGCTGCGAATGGAATTTGCATGTTGGAAACAAACAGATGAATAAATAGAGTTTGGAGTGAGAAAAAATGCAATTATGGATACTGTCAAAGTCTTTCTTGTTTAATAGGGATACTAAAGATACGTGATCAGTGTGGACATGATAAATCTATGACAAATACTTTCCAGGAAAGTATCTGTATTTCTGATGTTGAAAATATGGTCACCTTGGCATCCTGCTGACTGTAGTCTCTTTCCTAGTGTTGCCAGTGTAGGCAAACTTGAAGGAACATCTCTGATTAAGCTTTTCAGTGTGGGAGTTTCTTGGTGACAGTTTACTCTAGTTGTATACATTCTTTATGTCAGCACAACATAGCTAGAGAATAGTAATGACATGGGCTTGATGCTTCCTTCTCTCATTTAACTTCTATTTTTCTCTGCCTTTTTAATGCTACCTGTCCTTCTCTGTTCATGTGAGAATATCTGTCTTATGTCCCTTTGTCTGCAGACTATATGTCTTGTTCTGCCTTTGTTTCTATATTTCTTTCTCTTTCTCTTACAGTGTCTGTGTGACTTTGCTTCTCTTTTTACCTGACAGAAGGAATTCTTTCTCATGCTGGTGGAGCAGGACAGTGCTATGGCATACCACAGTAAAGGAGAGCAGCTGGAATCCACGTAGCAAACTCTCACACTTCTCCAGTCCTTCTCTTTTTTTCTTTTTTTTTCTTTTTTCTTTTTTCCTTCAGTCCAGTTCCTCTTGCTATTTTCTGTTACATTTTCCTTTTTTTCTAGTCTTTTGCCATGCCTGGTAGGAGCCCATCACGTACTCGTGCCAGCCGCTTCCATGGGCGACGGAGTAGTGCCATTGGCATTGAGAGCATACAGGAGGAAAAGAGGTATGAGCCATGGGAAGGTGAGGCAGAGAGAAAAGAGGAAATGAGAAAAAAAAGGAGACAGAAGAGCTTATGTAAGGACACAAGGGGAATTGGTAGGAAAGAGAACTGAATGGAAATGGCTGGAATGCGAAAGAGCTAATGGATCAGCTAATGGATCAAGAAGAAGAAGAATAAAGGACATTTGGAAATCGGGAGAAGAGCAGTTAAGGAAAAAAGGAATATGGGTGGAGGAATGTAGTAAGATCACTAACAAGTACACTTACGATCCAAGAGTCCTGGTTCTCCTGTTCTGTATTTATCACTTTTAGGTATGAAACAGGAGAAACAATTCAAGAAATAATCATGATTAAGGGATTACACATAATTTCAATAGGTATTTGACTGAATTACAAGCATTCAGAAATAGTCTGCTGGTCACCAGAGATTATTTTGTTAAGTGAATAAAATTGCAACACCTTTTTAAGAGTGTATATAGAATCTGAAAAGGTATATGGGTCCTCTTAGTATACAGTTTTCCCAGTTCCAAGAAKTCAAAGAAATAGCTTAAAGACACAGTGTGAAAGGAGAAAAGCCTTCCTTTAATGTGGAAAMCAATGATTTCACAAAAGGAAGAATTTTCATCTAATACATTTCACCTTTTTTTTTCCTTTATTCTATTGGACTTTTTCTTAGTGAAGGACCTATTTTCTCACTTAAATAAAACTGATTTAAAACTCCTTTTGAGGAAAATACAATATTCTAAAATAACTTCCCATTAACAGTATAAGTCAACACAGTAGCCACGGTTCCTCATCACTTACCTTAGTTTTGCACCTTATACAGCTATACCTCTAAATGCATTACTTTGCGCATTATGTTATTCTCTGTCCACTTCAAAAAATCATATAACCTTCCTAATGTGAAGTGTTAGAACAGATAGGGTAAACTCTGACCTTGGGGAATTGCTGTTTCTATTTTACCTTGCATCCCAGCAGAGACACTACAGAGAGGATACAAAAGGTGCTGGACAGTCCAGGAATGTTCTTTGACCTAAAATCTGATGGATCATCTAGTCCCAGCTCCCCAGAGTTCCCCATCAGGAAGAACAAGTGAGTTGAAAATAATTTTAATATTTAAGAGGTGCTCACCATTTCTGGCATTGGCTTAAGTGTGGTACCCATCTTCTCTTGGAGGCTGCACTAAGACTATCCATGTCAGGCACTGCACTACCTAAAAATTAGAATTGTGTTCCTGGCATAATTCAGAGCAGAGAAAGATGGGAATGCTCCAAGGTGATTCTAGCTTGATTATGGTCACAGTAGMTGGCATCCAACAGGATACACGATGCCCTAGCTCTAAAATTATCARTGCTTACTCATGTGTATGGTTTATCTGTAGCTTCTTCTGGAATTATTTTGGACCTTTCGGGAGAAGCTTGGACTAGGATATGTTAGGATGTTGGGTTGTACTCAAGTTCTGGCCCTTTAAGCAGGATTCATACTACTGCTCCCAACTGGCTTGAAMAAGCCTTCATTCAGTTCTGCCAGGGTGTTTCAGCAGGTGTTGCACTCTCATGTATTTCACCTGCATTTCATTTGTAAAGCATCTCATTCCCCATTCAATGTTCTCCTGCAAAACACTTCATGCAGTGAGCTATGCAATTGCTCTTCATCCACTGGTGATCAGAAAGTGGAGAAAAACATACTTTGACAGCAATGCAGCTTTGCTTTTGATCAGATGTGTTATCAGGCCATCTGCTGGGATGTGATCCTGTCTAAATACTTTAGGACTTTGGATAAATTACACATTTCCCTTTCTAAGACTCCAGAGCAGCCTTTCTCAAAATCCWGGGCTGCAGTTGACTTTCTGGAACAGCTTTTCACACCATACTTCTTCACAAAAACTTAAATGAAATCTATATCATAGTACGAGGCCATATCCTTCTCCTGGACTGAGGCTGCTATAACATGCCCTAGAGCCAGGCCTGTATGACTGTAGTTGCTCTAGATACCAGGTCTGGAAAGGAAGAGCCTTCCTTCCAGCCAGACCCAATTCTACCTAAAATTACAGGCTGGTGACTGTCTTTAGAAGTTTGTCTATCCAATTGTATGCTTTGAGACTTCCCAGACTGTTGTCACAGTATGTTTTTGTGAGGTTAGTTTTTGCAGTGACTAGAAGTTTGAAATTTTGGTGGGGAGGAGGTTTGCACGATACCTAGGAGAAACAAACTACCTGAAGTGATGGCTTTGTTAGTCAAGGACAAGAGAGAATACAAGATGTGAAACCACTGATCCATCAGCAATCCCCTTCTTTCAGCATGACTACATCATTCTACATCCCTTCCCTCATCATTCTTGGTGCCTTGATAGAGAACTAGAAGTTCTGCACTAGGCACATGTAGAGGACTCCTAGTCTGGTTGGAAGATGAAGTCTTCATCACCAGACAGAATTCTGCCTAATAAGAAAATACTGGGCCAGTTGTGATTATCCTGGGCTGGTGTGATTACCCTATTATGAAATATGGGTACGCCTTGGAAAACTTGAAGCTCTTGGTATTTGTTCCTAYCTCCCAACTCCCATTCTTCCATCATCAGCTAACAGGTGAGTCAACTGCAATGGCTATTTCAAATTTGGTATTACAAATCACAGTCTTCTGGAGCACAAATGTAGCATGGGATCTCATTAACAATATTTGGATTAATATTGCTTATGCACATGAGACATGGTCTTTTTGATTTTGCTGTAACATCTACCTCTGTCACTGGGATGCTATCTTTGCATGTTTTTTTTTTCTAATCATTGACGTAAAATTACTTGTGCAACACCACAAGAAAATATTTATTCACAGTTCACGGGACAGCCCATTATTGGACAGTTTGCTCACAAAGAAAGGTGTAGCATGTAGTTTTGCAAAAAATATGATTATCCAGTCTTTCAGAGCTAGGTACTAGCTCAACTCCAATTATACCTTCTGCATCATATCTGGGACAGGTAATCACAGACATACCTGTCTTTCACCATACATTTCACCATACAAAGCAGACTATKTGCATCATGACGGCATTAGCACAAAAGAGCAGGTACAGGTTGGGGGTGTCATTCCAGCAGTCTGTCTCATTGCTCCCTGAAGTTCTACAGGACCATTCTATTTATTGTTCATTAAGTGGAGAATCATAAAGAAGGATATCTTCTGAAGAGCTAAAGAAACTCTAGCTGTTTCTAGAGCTATTTGGGCATCCCATACTGAAAATGTCATTCCTGAAAGGGTACATCAACCCTTTCCAGGTTCTCTCCAGGAAATAGCATTACAGAAAATTTAGCTGTTTCAAAAATGTGCGACATGACACTGCTGGTCTCAGATAATCATTTCAGATTCCAGACTTGAATCACCAAGTTCATCTGTGTTCTACTAACATCATAAATAGAAAAAAATGCAAATGAGTTACACAAGCAGGTTAATTCCTAKAGAGACAAACTTACTTCTCTTCTTCACATGCTAATTTCCAACACAACTCTTCTTCAGTGATCAATCTGCAATATATGAAACTGCATTGTTTGCCTGGGCTAATCCTGTTTTCTCTCCCCTATACAAGGACTACTATCCTTAGTTATTCTGCTCTGCTGTTCAGATAGCCCTCCAAGTAATCCTTCTTCCCAAGAAACTCAAAAGAATAAACTCAGCCTAGGTGTCCAGGTGGTAAAATTCCACAAGACCAGATCTCTTTCCAGGTTGCAACTGCAAATCAAGCACTGTACTGTGTATGTCCAAATCCTAGGAAAAGTACATATTTTTTTGTGTATGTGTTTTCCCTCCTCAGACACATCTGAGTGGGGACACCAACCCAATCAGGAGTGGACCGGATACTGCTCAGTCTTTGGTTACCTCACTGAAGATACTGGAAAGACTTTGGGGTTGAAATGAGAGCCCTGGCTAAGAGGAGCATGAACTTGCTTAGAGGACCTCAAGGACTGTGCAGAGACCAAGTGGCACGACGTAATGCTCCACTGGCAGTTCCTGGAGCASGAATTCTGGGAAAGGGAGATGGACAGACAGCTCCTATTGGAGCATTTTGGCTCTAGGCCTTTCCCATTGCCCAACCAGCAGTCACTAAACCAGCTTCTTCTAATGATTGGGAGAAGAAGGCCTCCTTGAGTGCTCCCCTTCTCTTCTTCTCCCCTCAGATGAGCAACAAGAGAACAGCTTGACCTATCTAAGGCAGGAGCAGAAAAATTCCAGGCCCTCTCTGTCTCTAGTGCCTTTGGATGACTTAGGTCAGGAAGTGCAGTGCAGAAAATGAGGATGGAGAAATTTACTGAGGAAAGATGCTGAGAAGGGGACACTTCATGGAAATTTAGGTTCCAGCTGACTTATATTCATGTTATTGATTTGCTGTATTAYGGGAAAAGCATGTTGGGCTTCATTCCTCCAAAAATATATTTCCTAATCCCCTGAGGAAATATCTTTGGCCTATATTGGCCCTGCCTTTAATGTTCTCCCTATTGCATGCTGGCATGTAACATGCCTGGGACCATAGGTTTCATAACTGCTTGTAGGTCAAGACTGGCCATATTTTGCAGTGTTTCTGAAGGAATAAATATATTTAGTATGTTAAAGTTGTCTTATCTTTCTTGCCTCTCATAGCTTCTTTGAGTTTCTTAGCATTTTTAAACCCTTAATTTCTGTCTTACTGACTGGCCTCTTGTGGAGGCAGCAAATATTTCATTATAAATATTACACTAAAATGCGCACTGCACCTTGCACCATGTAAGCCCATGAATCCCATGGACTGCTTTTTCTCCTGGCTGGCTGCAAGCAGTGTGTGCCAAATTCTGAGTTAGAGGAAACTGACCTTAAGGGTCTTGTCTTGCTGAATGTGAATCACAATTACAGAATCACAGGATGGTTGAGGTTGGAAGGAACCCCTAGAGATCATCTAGTCCAACCCCCTGCTCCAGCAGGGACACCGAGAGCACGTGGCACAGGGTGGCATCCAGCCAGATTTTGAAGATCTCCAGAGAAGGAGACTCCACAACCTCTCAGGGCAGCCTCTTCCAGGGCTCTGTTACCCCCACAGTAAAGAAGTTCTTCCTTGTAAGAAGATGGAACTTCCTGTGTTTTAATTTATACCCATCACCCCATGTTCCATCACTGGCCACCACCGAGAAGAGTTTGGCCCTATGTAAACATGCAGCAGACTACCTCGATGTACATGATATCTGAGAGATTGGTGATCAAGTGATTGGTACAGTTTTCATATATAATGCTTTGAATGTTACACATTAACCATAATGTGTATATGCCCTCCTTACTCCTACCTTCACAACTATCCAGAAACCCATGGGTAACACTTTATGAAATGTATGAATAGAATAACATTCTCTTATATTACCCTTATACTGCCTGGACTTTCGTATAAAAGCAAACATGGCTGCTGGTGGCTGTGGGAGTGACTTGCCTAGACTGGGTAATGCCTACCTTTCATATGCAGTTTTAAGTGTGATCATATGTGTAGGCCCCTAAAATCTTTGTTCTCCGAACTGAAGGTGTCAGTGATTTTGATGAATGCCTAGATGTGCTAAAATGGCAGTGGTTTCACTCACTATTAGACACTTAAGTCTGTAAATTAAAAATTCAGCTAATCTGAACCTGAGTGTTGTTCTTTCATGCAGTTGTCATGAATGGAAGTAATGAAGGATGCTTCTAATAAATAAGATACTAGAAATTAAGGAACATGAACTAGTTCTCCTGAATTCTGATCCTAGTTAAAAACCTAAYTGGATGAGTAATTCTTTCTTATTGCTTCAGATTACTATGTGATTAATTTATGTCACTGAAAGTGTGAGCCTGTGTGCAACAATAAGCATGATGATGTTGAATGCTTGCATTTCACAGAATACTCACGAGTCAGACTTCAGGATACTGTGTGATGCAGCCATTCTCATGTTCTTCATCCAATGTAAGCAGTTGTTGTAGTGGTTTGAGGGAAAATGAAACATCTGAGGAAGAGGACAATGACAGGGTGGGTGCATGATCTCTAACATTCAGCAATTACCCTCCTTGATTTTACAAAGTGTATTATTAAAACAAGTTTTTTTCCTTCTCCAGGAGCTGATGTGCTCTCCTGAGGGCCCTTTGAAGCAGGATTCATTGGTTCAGAGTATGTGTTTGGATGACAGTGACTGCACACCCACTACATCCAGCTTTTCAGGTAAAAAAGAAAAAAACATCCTCTACGTAAGCATCTAAAAACATGTGATAGGCTGAGCTACATAAACTTTCAGCAAAATCTTTTGTATATTATACTGAGGATGTGTAGAACATAGAGAGATCACAGAGAAATGGGGAGAGAAATTGCAGAAAGAAAGGTCTTTCAATAGAATGAATAAATAATGTTGTGCACTCTGGAGAAGAAGTCACAGCATATTCTGAAAAGGTTATTGTGTTTATGGGTCTCTGTAGAGAGTGGATATCTTGATGCATTGGTTGTTGATATGACTCCTGTGCCATCTGCCTGTTCCCATGTATAAGCTACAGAGTCTGAATATGGATGTTACTGCTGCCACCACGCAAGGTGCTTCCTGCACAATGCGGCCTGCAGGATGGGTAACTGGGGAGCTCTTACCTGCCACAGCTGGGCTTTTAGCAATAGCCAGAGTAACTGATAAAGATCAACTTGATCTGTTCACAGTGCAGAGATGTTTATAGTGACAATATACTCTCCTTAGTCTCATAGCAGGCAGAACTGTCATACTGTCCRTTGCTGAGATTGTGTCAGCCATCCTGATCTCAGACCCCATTTGTAGTTGTGTTTTCCCATTTGGTAAAATTAACRGTTTTAGATTGAAACATTTCATGCTGGACATCAAGCTAAAGCTAGTTTTTTTGAAAACTTCRCTCAAAACAGTACAGCTGTTTCTTAGAATGAGCCTGAAGGGACTGGATAATATTTTGGGGAAGTGTGATTCAGAAGACTGAGCTGAAATTGAGAATTCGTTAAGATCTGTTGGAAGGCAAAACCTACATTTGTTGCTAAAGGTATCTCAAATTGGAGGAAGCTCAGATGGTGAGAGATTTGTGTGGTTGAGGAGGTAAAGAGTGGTTGGAAAAACTGAAATCTTTATGGAAATTGTGGGAAAAGGGATTTTTGGAGAAGTTTAGAATTGGGATTCAAAAGGGGAGACAATTCAAAGACAGAGCAAGGTTTCTCAATTTGTATAGCAGCCCTCTCTCTATGATGCCAAAGGTGGTCATCAGGACCCTGCTTAAAACTGTCTCTATTGTAACAATAGGAATGAAGATGTGATTCTGTGAGATGTTTTGCCAAAGYAGAGACTCACCAGCAATAGACGAGGGACAGAAAGGAAGGGAAAAAAGGTCATTATATGTGTGAGGCACGTGAGTGATGAGCCTTCATTTTCTGAGCACATATTCCACATTTTTCTGGAAATTCAGACACAGACACAGATTTCTGCAGACAAAAAAAAATCCTATCTCTGTATCACAGCCCTGATAGAAGACTGAAAGTTCAAGCATGGCATTACAAATTAACATTCCTAGACAAAATTACATTTAAATAACTTTAGTAATTTCAATTAATCTGCAACAAAGTTGCAACAAATTAATGTACAACAAAGGAGGAATTGTAATTATCCCTAACCAAGCAGGACAAACTGAGGAAATTAACTAATGTGTTAAGCTAAACTGCAAACAAAACAAAATAAAACATATTTGAATATGGAAAGGCATCTAGGTATTAGTTTTGTCCCCTAGTGACGGTTCCCTAGTACAATTCCCTAGTACAGTAACAACTGAGATGCTTACTGTAAGTTTGGATCTTTCTCTGAGCAGTTCTGCAATTCCTGAATTTGATTCATGCATTCTTGGATAGTCCCATTTGCCATTCAGCTTACAAGAGCAAAGATTCAGAAAAGAAAAAAATGCAGCAGCAGCCTATGATCATTGTGTTGCCAAAGCCAGGTAAAGACATAGAAAACTGCTTCAAACCATTGCCAAGTGTGCCATTGCAACTATTTTCTGAGTTGGCTCTAACGTACCGATGTGCCTCACCTACCAGTGCATATTAAGTAAGACAACGGTGACATTGCCCTGCAGCTTCAAGGCCAGGAAATAAATTCAGCTTCATTATGTCATTCCAGAGTTAATTAATACACACACAGTTGTTTTAGAKGTGTTTTTATTCTGTTATTTGGTCTTTTAGTTACTCACTACCTAGAACTCTGTATCATAGTAACATTTCTAAGTAGAGAAGCCAGGAACAGATGGACTTAAAAAAAGATCAGAACTCTGGAAGTGTAGTTTTGTGTTGTTTAAAGCTACTATTCAGCAGCAAACAGCAATGATTTACCAGTTTTGTTTTTTAATTCYGCAGAGTTTTGAATTAACATCGTGAAGCTGAGAGAGGGAAAGCCTACTTTTGAAAAACTGCTGAAGCATTTTCTCTCATCTGTCCCCTAGCAAATATTGTTATGATCATGTAATGTTCAAAAAGAAGAGGTTCATTTCAAGAAATATCTTGGTTTACCATCTTACTGCAGGAATCCCTCATTAACTACATTTTACAGTGTCCTTAGCTTTCCTAATTGAATGGTGGATAGCTGTGTCATTAAAGTCACTTTTACCTGTTTCTTTTGTTTCTTCTTTAATTTTTAGCATTAAATGAAAGATGGGTAGGCATTTTCTTTGTTATTCAGGTAGAAAGATAAATAGTTCAAGATAGCATTAGTCATGTGGGGGTGTAACATTTGCTGTAACTGGATGAGCCACAGATCTGAGAAAACTTYGGGGTAAAAAAAAGCTGTTTGCAGTGCAATCAGCTCTTTTGATTATTTTTTTATTGTTTTTTGCTTGGTCTCTTCCAGGAAGCTTGTTGCTTCCTTTCAACAGTGTTGCTGGCTCCATCAAAAAAGGAAAGGGCAGCAAAGCCAATGCTGAGCACCATAGTCCAGTAAGTGCTTTAATACAGTGTCTTTCCTTTTCATTTGCACAGAGAAAGAGAGGAACTTAATTTAGGAAGCTGTGCTTGTTCAGGGCTCAAAGGACAAGAAGGTGCTTGTAAGGGAAGGTTAAAGAACTACCTTGTTCTGCAGGTCTCCATTTTGTGCTGTGTGTGAAAACCACCAACGCTGGAGGATTGTTTCAGTGCATACTGGGTAAGAAGCACAGGTAGCTGATACAGAACAGTAGGCCAGTGGTTCAGGGTGGAAGGAGACTTCAGGCCCATCATTAAAGGAATACTTAAAAATACAGCTTCACAGTGAATACACTTGRTCCTATACATTCTTCCCTAAATGACCTTTCATGGGCAGCCGATTTCGTGCRTATTTCTACACCTCCTTGCATGCTTGCAGCCTGGCACTGGTGGATCTACTTGTCTGTATCAGTTGCACAGCTTCTCCAGAAAGGGGACTGTACCCCCTGGAGAGGTCTGCAACAGGCAAAGAGGAACACAGACTGCAAGTTTGTTCCCTAGATTCKGAGTCCAGTTTTGTCAGCATTGTTTCTTTAAACTCAAAAATTCCTCTTTCTACCCAATATCCTGTCTGGCTTGAGAGCAAAACAACATCTTGTGTTGATGTAAGTGATCTAAGGCTCCCAGAAAATAGTCTGCTCTAGATAGAGGAGTTTATCTATTTATTTATTTATCAAAGAAATTAGGCTGTGTCTTATATAACTGCCACTTTCTGTTACTAGTTAGCACTTGCCTCTGTGCTTGCTAAAAAAAGACACAATGAATGAGATCCTTAATGTTTTTTTCCAATAATGCCCAGCCACCTGGTGACATTCAGAGCAGTGAGATAAACAGTTGAACTCCTCATATAGTGCTGCCAATTGGTGTCCCAGTGGACTGGCATTGCCAGATGAGAAAGGGAAGCTAGGTGGTCAATGCTGAGACAACATAATGCCTGCTATGCTTAAGATCTACATTGAGAATGAAAGGATAGTTGCCAGCTAGCACTTCTGGGGTAATCTGCAGGGTCTCTGACAGAAGCTCATGCTCCTGATCAGCTTTCTGCTGTTACACAGGAGTAAGGTTACCTAAAGAACAGAACTAGCTCAAATCTGTCTCCCAAACAGGCTAATTTTGCTGGCACTAAGTACAGTTGTAAATTATGAGCTTAGCAACAATGTAAATATTCCTTGGCAGAACTGCCAAATCACATAAATAGTTAGCACCACTGTTGAGGCAGAGAGAGCTGGGTTTGTTTAGCCTAAAGTAGAGAGGACTGAGAGGGTATTTTACCATGTATACAAATATTTTGAAGACCAGACTATTTTCAGTGGGGCCAGCAACAGGCAAGCTGGCACAAAATGAAGCACAGGAAGTTCTGCCTAAATTTGAGAAAAAAATCTTGACTGTGAGCGTGAGAGAGCTCTGTAAGAGATTGTCAAGAAATCTCCTTCTCTGGAGGTATTCAAAACTTGCCAGGATGCAATCCTCTGCAATGTGCTGTGTGACCCTGCTTGTGCAGGAGGTTTGAACTAGATGATCTCCAAAGGTCTCTTCCAGCCTTAAACACTCTGTGTCATTCTGTGTGATCACAAGTAATAAACAATGTTAAAAAAGAATCAAATTTTGATTTTGTTAATCTCAGTAGTGTATAAATGGTACCTAAGGCCTAATAGCATTTATTTCCTGCTGACTTCAGATGGGACTGAGAGCCTTGAAGATCATTTTGAGAAGTATGAATCAGTCTCTATTGGCCCATCTCATCATCTCATTTGGCCCATCTGCATTATCAAGAGGTTCTGTCACAAAGGCAGGTGCTTTACAGTCAAGCTAAAAGGTTAATTTATGATTTTTTGCACTTGCCTCACCTTTATACCACAGTCATTACCTCCACATATGTGTTTTCCAAACTTTTCTGAGACTGTGCTGTAAATCAGGTCATGGGGGTGATCCTGCCTAAAAATGCTATATCTCAGTCATTCCATTTTTATTACAGACTCAGAATCAGTCTTGGGGCTCCATCTGAGGAGTAGCAAATTTCAGAGAAAATAATCAAAAAATTCTTGACATGACTTAAGGGAATTAAAGGAACTGCACTTACAGTATCCAAATACATAAAACTTTCCTGTCATTCCAACTTCTAATTGAATGTAAAATCCTAGTTCACAGAGTTTTCCTTACATTCCAAGTTGTATCTACCCAGAGACTAATGGATAGACTGGTGGAAGTAAGAAGAAAGTTCTCAGATTATAGGATGCTTCCTATAAAAACTTAAAGGGATATAAGGAACAGTTGCAAGGGCATGAAGGATTTTTTTTCTGCTGTTTTGTTCCAGAGTTTGCTGTTCAAGTGTGTGAGTGTGGAGATGCTTCAGCTTAAAGTTGAGAAAGAGATAAAATGAAAATGCTGCTATTCTTTCTCCTTCCTCCAGCAATGCATCAAAGACAGCCAGGAATCACTGAGAAATGAAACCTGGTACAAGTTTGTTGAAGTGTATTATTCCAGTTCAACCAATACAGAACAAAGTTCAAACTATTTCAATATGAACTAAGAACTGTAACAGGAAGTGAAAAATGAAATGTCTTGGTTTTAATTACATTGTTTACTTTTCCCTTACAGACTATATGATAGGATGTCCTTCATAGCCATATCCCAGAATCACCTCTGGATAGGCGACAATTAGGCCATCCTTGAGGAAGGAAACCACAGCATAGTTCATTTACCGACTAACATTACGTGATAATCATCAGTGTCCTCTAACGACTTTACTGAAAATTGGCATTAATGAAATCCCCATGAAAGTGCTGGRCCTGATCCATTAGAATGAATGGAGATTGCAGATGATACCAAGCTGGGTGGAGTAGCCAACACTCCRGAGGGCTKTGCTGCCATCCAGAGGGACCTGGACAGGCTGGTGAGTTGGGCAGAGAGGAACCTCCTGAGGTTCAACAAGGACAAGTGCAGGGTCCTGCACCTGGGGAGGAATAACCCCAGGTATCAGTACAGATTAGGGGTCGACCTGCTGGARAGSASCTCCACGGAGAGGGACCTGGRAGTCCATGGAGTTAACCATGAGGCAGCAGTGCCCTCGTGGCCAAGAAGGCCAATGGGATCCTGGCTGCATCAGGAGGATGTTGCCAGCAGGTCAAGGGAGGGGATCCTGCCCCTCTCCTCAGCTCTGGTGAGGCCRCACCTGCAGTATTGGGGCAGTTCTGGACTCCCCAGGACAAAGAGGGACAGGGAGCTTCTACAAARGGTCCAGCAGGGAGCAACTAAGATGATTAAGAGACTGAAGCATCTATCTTACAAGGAAAGACTAAGTGAGCTAGGTCTGTTTAGCCTAAAGAAGAGAAAGGTGAGAAGGGATCTTATCAATATGTATAAATACCTGAGGGGAGAATGTAAAGATGGGGCCAAACTCTTCTCAGTGGTGGCTAGTGATGGAACATGGGGTAATGGGTATAAATTAAAACATAGCAAGTTCCATCTTCATGTGAGGAAGAATTTCTTTTCTGTGAGGGTGACATAGCCCTGAAAGAGGCTGCCCTGAGAGGCTGTGGAGTCTCCTTCTCTGCAGATCTTCAAACCTGCCCAAATGCCACACTGTGCCATGTGCTCTGGCTGTTCCTGCTGGAGCAGGAAGGTTGGACTAGATGATCTCTAAGGGTCCCTTCCAACCTCAACCATTCTGTGATTCGGTGAAATGTCCATCACTGCAGTGCAACATGTATAAACTACTGTTTAGGTGGGGGATTGCAGCTTCTGAAGTACTTGATGCATTCTTGGATTCTCCCTTGTGATTGATCTGTCCCTTTATAGTTTTCTTTCTAGTGTTCCCTTCAGTTGTCCTGTTACAGAGGAAACAACACTAAAGGAGGCAAAAATGCCTTATTTCATGTTTGAAGTATATGCATAGTATCTTTGACTTAAAATAAAAGAAGAATGTGGCCAAGCTCTCTTAGGCTGTGTTTCTGTGTCATAGCTGTTTCTGAAGATATGAATATTCACAAAGATACAAGAAATCTCTACACAGTGAAGACCTCAGTGCTGTAACAACAGTTAATCCGCATGCTTTTAGACTAAGAGAGAAGAAAACTAACCAAAAAGGAGAATGTAAGAAAGATCTGTATGAATCTGCAAATTTGCTGAAAGAAAAGAAGCATATTGGTGCTTGTAAAGAGCTGACCAGACAGGTAATATTGGCAAACCTCAAACAACCTCTTACAATGAGATGAGACTGGGCTAGAAAATTAGTAAAGGAAGAGAAAGCCATCTCTACATTATTCTCTCCACATTCAAGTAACCATCAGAGATTGACCATTTTTTCATAAATGCTGTCTCTGTGAGATATTCTGTATGGAAAACAAAACTGTTACTTTTTTTATATATTCACATATGTACACAAACATACATATATATATACATATGTATATATATACATACACAAACACACAATATACATTTATTTCTCCTTATGTTTTTCCCTTGGACGTCTCACATCTTGGAGCTTGGAAGAGAAGGAACTGGTCCCAGCCATTTTTCTCCTGCAAGATGAACCAGTGCAAAAGAGGTTAAAATTTAATAGACAACAGTAATTGGGCAGTTCTTGTTTCTTTTTCCTCTTTTGAAGGGTAATTACTAATGATGGGATATATATTTTTATCTTGTTGGATCCTTCTTCAGCCAGTCTCCTAAATCTTTCTCTTCCAAGTCACAACTGGAGCTGTACAAAATATTTTCCCCTGTCACAGATAAGAGGTTCTGCAAACCTGCTGCACTCCAGATAAGGAGGAAGCCCATTCTTTCTAGGATCCCTTTTCTGAATGGCTGATGGTTGAGGAGGAGGGAAAGAGTAGAAGAGTGGAGAGTGAGATAAAAGAATAACAAGCAAATCTGTTAAGTCTTTGCCCTGGTTGAAGTGGGTACTAGAAATCAGTTCATGACAATTGGGATTAGTGATTTGGAAAACAAATCTTCCTCAATCCTGTCTTCATTGATAATGTTTTTGTAGAAATATCCAGAAAAGAAATCCCMAAAAACCTCCAGAACATTTCTAGTCACGTTCACAGCTAGTTATGTTCATAACTTTCATGGCTGCCTTCCTAATCTGCAAGTGCTGCCAAATTTGAGATCAACAGTCCATCTCCCTCCAACTCAGGTAACAGTGGGTGACTGAGTTCTATTAGTTATCACAGCTTAAAAAAGAAAAGCATTTTCTTAACAGAAAAATGAAGGACATATACATCCAATAGGAATGCCAATACAGGAATTGAGTATCTATATAATTACAGTTATGAACTGGAGATTTGTGATAATGCACTTTTTATGAAGAAGAAATAGATTTAAGATGACAATATTAAAGCTGCAAGTAGAGGATTATTGCCTATAGTCTTAAACAGAACCAAGATCTAAGAGCCAGTATCACATTGTTAATTTGAAAGTAGCATGTACAAAACAATGTCTTAAAACATACCAATGGGATTTTTGTACTGAAGTTACTACATACCTGGAAGAGGACTACATCTTTGGTCTCTGCATTTGTGTGACATTACATTCAACAGTTGTACCCCACAAGGAGAATACTAAACATAATTCAATATACAAAGCATATTAAGAGTGTTTCATTTAACTATATTCCATATTTCATTAAATGAAGGTAGAAACATGAAACTTAAAGTGAAATTAAGTGCACTCACCTATAATACTTCCCAGCAGCTCTATACGATCACTGCCAAAAAAGTGATGCTGTTCTCCATTAAGATGTACCACAGTAGCAGGCATCCCAAAAGCCTATTAACACCATGGAGATTAAAGAATGTTATGAAATAAGTTTTGGTAGATAAATGACCACTCATTCCTCAGGAGTAACCAAAAACACTGACCCTTTTCTTCCCCTTGTTTTCACTTTCTTCACTCTTAAACACCAGTCTGATGTAACCATCACAGGACAAGACTCTTCAAAGTCAGTGAGCCCTTTGTGACTGAGTAATCCCACCCCCTCCATGACTAAATCCAAAGCTTTATGTGAAGCAGTGATAAACAGTGTCACTCGGTGTCCTGTATTGGTCCTCCTATCCTTGTCATCGAGCTGGAATGGGTCAGACCCTAGTTTCCCAGATGACAATACAATCAGCTAAGTAATAATGAATTAGCCTTCACATTTCCAAAAAGCAAAAGAAATTCAGAGCAGATCTTTTTAGTGCTTTCTAATCATCACCCTCATCAGCAGTATTCTTAGCAGGGAAAGAMTGCATAGCTGTGATCTCAAATTGTGCTAAAACATCTCACCCCATATTTCATTGCATCATCTGTTGTTGCTCTTAGACGGTCCTTCACTGCAGGGGATGAAACCATTTCAAGAAGCTTTTGGGCTTGCTCTGATGGTAGCCCAGCTTGTGCTGCAACCTAAGAAGACATAATTAAAAATATTCTAAGTATTTTAATTCCTACTATGAACTAATTAATTTAATATTCAGTATTGATCACACAAAATCTCCTAATACAGTAGACTACTGTATTAGCCTACTACAAATACTACAAACAAAAACAACAACAAAAACCTCTTGAAGTACTTCTTGAACAACAGGCTGGCTATATAGGGTATAAGGAATATTCCCAACCCATTCATCATTTATCAGTTCCTAGACAGAAGGAACGTGGACTAATTTCCATTTTCCAAAAAAGAATTAAATCTATGTTTCAATGAGTTATTACATCGTGTAATAAATATATATATATATTCTGAAAAAGACAGTCAAGAGTCTTATTATACTAGCCTATCAAGAGAAAAAATGGTTAGTACGAATGACAAATGTAGTCAGAGAGAAAATATAAAGGATACTGCTTGAAAGAGACTGTAACTACACCAAAAGTAAAAGATACATTATTTACTGAGTCACACAAGTTACAAATATCTATTTTTAATCAAGTACCTCAAACAATGTTAAGTTCCATGGCATTTATGTGCATGATATTCCTCGAGAAACAAACAAGTGTGGCACAGCATTAGAATAAAACTTAACACGTGCTTGACTGCCACTGTGTTTAAACTGCATAATATATATAGGTCCATCACTGCATCAGAGCAGAAGAAGTATTTAGGAGGTTTAGGGCAGGATTTAAAGACCACAATGCTTTTATAGTGACTTATGAGAAGTTACTACTGACTAAACAAAAGGCAAAAGTAGCACATGTACAGCAAGGAACTGCATTAAGTAAACAACATAGAATAGTTAATCAGTGTATAAAATTCATTGTTCATCAGTATATAAAATAAATTCACCCATAAAAAGTCAGAGGTTGGGATCCCTCACACAGCTTTGGTGGTGTATTTCCACACAAGGACGATCTAGTGCTTGCTGCAGGAGTGAATGAAGACAGAAACAGGCCAACAAGGAGATGCCTACCTCTCTCCCTTGATGAACACGGATGGATACTCATTGACTGCCAAGCTGTGACTAAGTTACAGGATCTTTTTGAGTATGAAGTTTGTTCTTCTCAAGTTTTGTGTGTCCTTGCCTTATTTTTAAGGAATGATGGATTCAGAGACTATGCAAAGACTTTCAGTGTGTGTTTAAATATATACTTCACATGTTGCCTCCTGAAGAGGCAAAATGCAAACAAGTATTTTTACTGATCCAACCCACCGATAGATATTTTTATCCTTACACCCTTTAATGAACAGGGAGACACTTACAGCCAATATACTTGCTGGCTGGTTGATATCTTCATGCTGGAGAAAGAAGAAAATAAGTAATTTAATACTTATGAATAAAAGCTCAGTTCTGGACTTGACGGCAAATTTTCTAAGCAAAAAGAATATCAGTTGATCCTGCTGCAGAAACTTTCTTAARAAGATTTAAAGTTACATAATTTAGAAATATATTATGTGCTTTCTGATATGAACTACTGCTTCACTCATCATTCAGAACTCACTGTACATACCTAACAGGAGACACTGCAAAATGAGCTTAGTGCCAGCTAGCTCTTTTCTTTTAATGGATCCCAAACTACTCAGATCTTAAATTTCCTGTCATGAGTTCATTAAAAAGCACTTTTCTCCTCTTGCTCACACTCCATACTTGAATGAAGAGGGGCTGGGGCGGGGAGACAGACAAAGGAACAAAAATTTGGTTTTGTAGGATACTGACCTGTGACCAAAAGCGTATCCAGAATTCTCTAGATACAGGTTCCAAAAACTGGGGTTGTGTCATATCAATGGCTGTGAGAAAACGCATGGCACCAAGAGAGAGTGGGACTGGTGAAAAGACAGAGAAACGTACTGAAACAAGGCACAGGATCAGGAAAAATGGTTGAAGTCTGCAGAAGTGTCACCTATGGATGATCTTCCCTGCAACTGTCCCCAAAAGGTGGAGCCTGTATTGATTCACAGTATCTTCTCTGCCATAATTACGCACAATCATATTTGCCCAGTTCAGAACTTCTCTTTATGACTGAAAAGGCACAGATTTGATATTGCTCACAAATACTGGGAGAGGCCACAGAGAATTCACCTTCATCTTTACTGTCATGAAGAATTTGAATAAGAAAACCCACATCAGCATCTGTGTTGTGTCTCTTACCTTTACCAAGTAAACGTTGAAGGTGTTCTGCTGAAACTTTTATAGGGACTTGGTAATATTTTCCCATCCTTTCTATATCCTTCAGCATATATTCACCACGCTTTGGCAACAATCCTGGGGCCTTGTTACCTTTCAAAAAGAGGTTCCACGTTAAGGAGGAGTTTTCAATTATAGCAACATTAGACAAAACCAACACTGGACAGGTTAAACAAACATCTGCCTAAATAAGCCTGCAATTTCATATTGATTTACTGAAATATTCAGATTTTGAAAAGTTAATGCCATAGTATGAACCAAATTTGTTTTGGTTTTGCAATGTGCAGATAAACTCTTAATTAGCAGAAGCAGTTTTAACTACAGTACAAAGTCCAGGTTCTAAAGTATAATCCAGGCAGGGATTTGTTGATTCAGACAGAAGCTCTTCTAAGTCCCCAGACTTATTTACTGATATTTGTGTGTAATGATATTTGTTAATTTTCTGATCTCTGAATTATACATTTCAATGATTCAGTTGTTCTAATAAGGTCATGTGTACAATGTTATGATATTCTTGATCCTTCCAGCATCTTGCACCAAAAATGCACATTTTGGTTTCATCGTAAAAAAAAAAACTTTTCGACAAATATCACACATCAAATTACCATTATCCTCTTTGGGACTTAGGAACTTTGGCATGGACAATATGTTCTGTAGATAAAGTATAGCATTAACAGTGAGATAATACTTGCAGTCGATTTCTCAACCACTGCTTAGCTCAGCAAGCCTATAGTTCATCTGCTACTAGTGCCAAAACTGCGTTTAAAGCAGGCTGCGTTTAAAACTGTGCCGCGAGTGAAGTATTTCACAGTCAGCCTACCAGTCGCGTGTATTATGCCACCCAGAAAAGCTGGACGCAAACGCAGGTCAATGTTCCAGACATGCTGGTACCGGCACAGCACCTACATCAAAGAAAAGTGAGCAYGGACAGACAGCGTGAAATGTCCGCAGAGCTGAGGGCAACCAGAAAGGAAATAAGGCCTGAAATGGGCACTGCAGATAAAACCCCCTGTTAAGATGCTGCTGATAACACTTAAACTCCTTCCCTGGGGCGCGCAASCCCAGGGTTGATCTCGGAAATATGATCTCGGAAAACCGAAAGGTGCACAACACAACCCTGCGCAGGGCTAGAACAGGCAGATCGGGCTCCTGAGAAGGCAGTTATGTTTGTTAAAACGACAAGACTTCCTCTAAAGCAAAGCGCTCACCAGTACACACGCAATAAGCGCCCACTGGGCTGACCCGGAGCTCAGTTACCCTTCCCCGCGCTCCAGCACGGGAGGGAGGCCCCGCAAGGCGACACCCATGAAASCTAAACGCGCGCGGGTAACAGGTCGCTGGCGGAGGTGGCTCCGGGTGGCTCCGGATCGCCGGGACSCCGCGCTCCCGCCCTCCGAGCGGCTCCCGAAGGGGAGCGGGAGCCGCGGGAAGCGGCGGCGCCCGCCGCGGGTGCCGGGGGGTGTCGGTGTCGGTGCCGCCGCGCCCGCCCTGCCGCCCCCCACCCGGGCGCCCACCTCGAAGCCGAACCACGAGTAGGGCGACACCACGTCGTAGAAGAGCTCCACGAGCTTGCGCGCCGCCGCCATGGCGGCAGTGGCGCGCGTCGCCCCCGCCGTGCGGCGAGCCCGGCCCCCGGCCCTGCCTCCCTCCCTTCCCGCCGGGAAAGGGCGTCCATTTGTGGGGAAGGCAGCCCGTGGTTCTCTGAGGAAATGAGGTCGTCGTTAAGCGACGCTGCTTGTTGGAGCAGCTCCCGAGCAGCGCTGCGGGCCGCGCTGCTGTGGTGGCGGTTGTTAATGAAGGAGTTAGTGTCCTGCCCCACAGAAAAGTGCTCTTTTCTTCCCTCGGGAGGCCTGCTTCAGGGTACTGGCATTTCGTCTCTGCTCCGTGCACCGTACTTCTCATTCTCAGATCTTCGTTCTGAGCCTTGGTGGTGTTTCCCTGCAAGTCTTGTCCTCCCTATCTGCTCGTTCTGCGGAGTTATTTCAGAGTATTCCCCCTGGCAGACTGGGTGCAACCATATCTCGAACCTCTCAGCAGACACAGATCGTTGCTAGGGATTAGTCCAGTGCGATAGGCAGGATACATGCACAGGAGAGGACGGAGTCCCAAAGGCTGAAACAGTAGGGAGGCATGAGGTTTAAGTGGGTGTGTTAGGACAGCTCATGGGTGTGGAAATAACTTGCTCTTTTTTTGTCTTTTGGAAAAAAAAATAATGCTGCTGAATATAAACAACATCTCTTGCAGGTATACTTGTCCTCTCCTTTATTTCTCCTCATACTGAAATGATTCCACAAGTCAGCAAATYCTAGCTATTCACAACAGTGGAACGGAGCAGCGTGGTTTTCCTTTTGTGCAAAGCTAAAACCAGGAATTTCTTGAAATTGGCTTCATCTCATTAATAACACMGAAAGTTTTTTTTAAAAAAAGCAAATAAGGTCTGTGTCAGAAAGGAGATATTATTACTTCCTTTCTAACAATTTTCAATAATTTGGGAATTAAACTGCTGTTAATCTCATGCAGAAGGACTTTGTAAAAATTTAAAGGATCAACTATATCGTAAGATCAATATTTTAAAAGGAAAATTAACATTTTAAAAGGAAAATTAACACATGGAAAAGAATATTAAAAAGTCTTCCTGCAAGGGGAGCTTCAAGAGGAAGTGGAAGGAGTTGTTCAGTTTGCAATTCCATGTATAGAGGATAAAAGTGGGGGRRAAAAAAAAAAACAAACCACTCTCTACTTCCTCTTAAGTTCCTAAGAATAAACTCAGTAAAGTTAGCGTATTGCAGTAAATAGTAAATGGTTAAAAGCTCATTTTACTACTCATATTAGAAATTAGTGCTGTCATTTAATTTTTGGGAGGAAAGTTTCCTCTCTCTCCTGGAACTTGCCCCTAAGAAAGATAGACATTAGTCCTTCTTTCCCTTTCTCCTCAACGTCCTTTCTGAGGATGAGGTGGAGTTTGCAGTGGCCATTGATGAGCATGTTTTCTGGGATGTGAGGATCCAGGCTGTTCCCCCCCTCTCCCCTCCAAAAAAGAAGAGAGTTGATTTTAATTCTGACCATGCAAAGAAAGACCTGGAAATACACATGTTTAGGAGAATGTTTAGGAGTGCCAGATACAGGATGAGTTCCTGCTTCCTGTTTGCTGTACAGGGCTTCCCTTTTTGCCTGTAGCCATGGGCATGTTTCTTCCAAATTTCCAAATTACTTCCTCCCTCTTAGATCTTGAGTTTTCGAGTGCAGCTACTGCCTCCTTGATGGTTTGTACTATATATCCCTCAGCCTCAAGGCTTCTTGAGCATATCTAACACATAGGTGCTTGTGGATGGCTTGTGCTGTATGGTTTACCCTGCTGTACTACCCCGACAAAAACATTCTCAATCCACTGGCTTCAATCCAAGTAATTCTTATCCTAAATACTAGGGKTTTTTTTAGTAAAACAAAGTTGTAGATCAACAAATAGTAAAGCAAGGCTCTGATTCGGAATAGGCATTAAAGCACAAAATGTAAATTAAATTGTACTTTAGTAGCAAAACACCTGCCTATTTTCTCTGGTGTCTGGTACCCAAAATTCTGGTAAAAATTCAGGGAATCTGTATTGTGTGACAGATCTAACTTTTAAGTACCATTTGCACAGTGATAGGATTGAAGAAAGGGTGATGACTCTGTGCAGGAGAGAAACTATTTTGTGCTGATCTTGTGAACGAACAGCTAGACTCAGGTCTCATAGCACTGCCATAAAATAGTAAGGCCACTGTAAGGTGAGGCACAGGTTGCAAATCTTTTGATCTGTCTCACAGGAGTGTGAATCTTCGAGATGGCCCCAATAACTTGGATGAAAGATATCAGGATTAAGCAAAAAGGGCAAACAACAACGCCAATAACAAACAGTGATTTCTTTCATCTGGGTGTCAGCATAAAAAAATTTAAGTAGTGCCAGGATATCACAGTAGAAGTGCTTAATCACATCTAGATCACAGAATGACATCTGCAAGGTTTGAATGGTATGGATTGTACCAAGAACAAACACAGATATCCAAAACACAAATATCATGGCTTATGATCAGCATTCAGGGCAATGGATGACATATTGCTTAGCACTGATCATATGCCATGGCTACTAATAAAACAACAAATAAAACAGTGAGGCCTAAAGCCAGAAAGAGGTTTATCTGAAAAACACACTTATCAAAGGAAATAATTCTCTTGGGATTCAAGAGGTTGGCCAACATTTGAGGGACAGTGCTGGATAGGTAGCAGAATCTCAAGAAGTATGTAGAGATGTGGAGCTGGCAGTCCAGCCTGGTCAGTACCAGTGTGGTCATATTTCCCATTACAGCAAATATGTAGATGAGAGTAAATATCCTGAACAGTAGAAGCTGCATTTCTGAGCATTTTAACCTAGGAGAAGGATTTYTGTCATAGAATTTTGGTTCTCTATCTTTTCATTTTGATGCTTTATCTGAAGTGGTATAAAAAATGTCATGTGAACTGCATTACTGTGTTAAATGTGAAGGTGAATTTAAGGTGAGAAGCCAGGAATGAGTTTGCATGGAAGTGTTTCCCACCTTCTACCCAAATTTACCTTGCCAATTATAATATGCCAAACAGAGCATATATAGAAACTTAAAGGTAAATAAAAAWATATATATATTAGTGATAGAAGAAACAGACAAAAATCTAAAGCTTCTGCATGAGCAGATCTTTGAAGGAACTATTTTCAAATTATCTCTAACACTCATAGTGAAATGAAAGAAAAAGAAATGAAATGCACACAGAGAAAGAAACATATAAAAAAAGTGTATGTCCTAAAATTTATTATTTGTTTTATGATATCACTGATAAACTCTGTCATGGAGCCAAGGTAGGCATGATCTAGATGACTGCATATATGTGTGGGTTTTGGGACTAACAAATATTCTATAAAAATCATTGGAAATTATAATTTAAGATCACAAACAACAATTTCTGCTGCTATTAAACTAAGTCTTGTGGCTTTAAAAGCAAAACATATGTATGGGAATATCTGCTCTTACATAGAGAAAGATGCTTTCTAAATGACAAATACTGTTATTTTGAGTAATATGAATACTTTGAGAATTAAGAGAAAAAGGAAAGCTATCTACTGGTGAGTCCCGGTGTTTATTTTTATTCTTTTTGAAGTCAGAGTGGAAAAGGATACATGCCATCACAGGCCAATAATCCTGCCATCACATTTGAATTTTGATTCAGCAAAACAGTAATCTCAATTATTAGAAATTTTGTTATTTGAAGGGCTTCATAGGGCCTGTAACCTACATATTCTCTTAAAGGCAAGACAGTAACTATCTTCAATTCTATGAAGGCTGAGAGAGGTGAGGAAGCTGTAGAAGATAAGGTTGAATGTAACAGAGGATGGTGCATGAGGTTACGGAAAGAAGCTTTCTCCATAATATAAAATGCAAAGTGAAGCAGTAAGTGCTGATGCAGAAGCTGCAGCAAGTTATCCATAAGATAAACTCTGAAGGTAGCTACACTAAACAGTAGATTTTCAATGCAGACATAACAGCAYTATATTGAAAGTAGATGCCATCCAGGACTTTCATAGCTAAAAAGGAGAAATTGGTGCTTTTGAAGAGCATTTTGAAGAGCTTCAAAGTTTCAAAGGACACGCTGCCTCTCTTGTGAGGGGCTAATGAAGCTGATGACTTTAAACTAAAGCCCATGCTCATTAACCATTCTGAAAATCTTAAGGCCCTTAAGAATTATGCTAAATCCACTCTGCATGTGCTCTATAAATGGAACAACAAATCTGGATGACAGCAGATCTTTTTACAACATGGATTACTGAATATCTTAAACTTATTGTTGAGACCTACTGCTCAGAAAAGAAGATTCCTTTCAAAATATTACTGCTTAATTGACACTGCACCAGGTCACCCAAGAGCTCTGATGGAGACGTACAATGAAAYGTATGCTGTTTTCAGGCCTGCTAGCACAACATCCATTTTGCATCCCACGGATCAAGGAGTATTACTTGAATTTCAAGTCTTATTATTTAAGAAATCCTTTTTTGTAAGGCTGTAGATGCTATAGAGAATGATTCCTCCGATGGATCTGGGCAAAGTACATTGAAAACCTTTTGAAAGGATTCACCATTCCAGAGGCCATTAACAACATTTGTGGAAGAAGGACAAAATATCAACATTAACAGGAGTTTGCAAAAAAAATTGATTCCAGCCCTCATGGATGACTGTAAGAGGTTCAAGACTTCAGTGGARGAAGTAACGGCAGATATTGTGAAAATAGCAAGAGAACTGGAATTAGAAGTGGAGCCTGAAAATATCACTGCATTGCTGTAATCACATGATAAACTTGAGTGGATGCAGAGTTGCATCTTATGGATAAGCAAAGAAAGTGGTTGCTTGAGATGGAATCTGCTCCTAGTGAAGATACTGTGAATGCTGTTGAAATGACGAGGATTTGCATAAACTTAGTTGATAAAGCAGTGGCAGAGTTTTAAAGAATTGACTCAAATTTTGAAAGAAGTTCCATTGTGGGTAAAATGCTATCAAATAGCATCACGTGCTACAGAGAAATACTTTATGACCAAAAGTGCCTATCAATGTGTCCAACTTCATTGCTATTGTATTTTAAGAAATTGCCACAGTTGCTCCAGCCTTCAGCAATCTCCACTCTGAACCGTCAACAGCCATCAACATCGAGACAAGACCTTCCATCAGCAAAAGGATTACAACTCACTGAAGGCTCAGATGGTTAGCAATTCTTAGCAATAAAAGTATTTTTAATTAAGCTATATATTCTCTTTAGACAAAATGGTATTGCAAAGCTAATAGATCACATTATAGTGTAAACATAAGTTGTGTATGCACTGGGAAACCAAAAAATGTGTGTGCCTTGCTTTATTATTTGCTTTATTGCAGTGTTATAACTTGTATTTGCTTTATTGGAATAAAAAAGTGCAATATCTCTAAGGTATGCTTTTATACAGCCACTCTTCAATCAAGGAACAAAAGGAGTACTCAAAAAAAAAAAAAAAAATAGCAAAAGAATCCCTCCGTCCTGGAGAAAAAGAATTATATTGCTGTCTTTCCTCAAGTGCAGAATCTTTAGATCTTTAGATCTTTAGATCTTTATTTACTTAGGTCAAAATCTTTATTTAACAAAATGCCTTATCTCTGCCAAACTCGCTTTTCTTTTTGAATTTCATCCTAACTACTTTTAGCCTAGCTCAGAAAGAATAACATCAGACATGTCAAAACATCCCGTCCATTACAGAATCACATGCACTCCTACACTCACAATATTCCATGAGGAAGCTCCATCCCATGCTCCATGAATACATACACAGACATGTAGGTTTGTCAGGCTACTTATTAATATAAAGCAGTATTTAATTCATCCCAGTGCCACCTATTCTGCCTTAGTCCTTGGTACAAGATTTTGAAATGTTATAATGTTTTTGAAGCTAGAGAGTTCCTTTCAGAAAGGATTGGCTTATCTGTTTTGTTTTTTAATTTTTTTCTTGCTGTTTGGAGTGAACTTACATTCCTGTATTATGAGAAGTAGAACAGCTTATGTTTTTAAATGAAAATAAGAGGCTTATCAGAGGCTTCTGTGATTATTATCAAAGAATCACAGAATATTCAAGGTTGGAAGGAACCTCTAGAGATCATCTGGTCCAACCTTCCTGCTCAAGTAGGCACACCTAGAGCATGTTGCACAGGGTGGCATCTAGGCRGGTTTTGAAGACCTCCAGAGAAGGAGACTCCACAACCTCCCTGGGCAGCCTGTTCCACTGCTCTGTCACCCTCACAGGAAAGAAGTTCCTCCTCACCATTATGACTCTTGCAAGTATTGCTCCTTGACACATCTTTATGCTGGAATGTGCTAGGCAAATATTCAGCAGCTTGAAGTTCCATGAGAACTTCTGATCAGTCTATTTGGCTCCCAAAATATATTTCAGATCCTTGTTGAAGTTTCAGCCCTTCTCCTTAGGACAATAATGTGAGCTGGATGAGGGACATAAAATTACATTAGCTCACATTCTTAAATAAGGAGCTTTGTTAAGGAAGTGTAGGAAGTCTGTAAGGAAGTGTTAAGGAAGTAGGGCACAGATTTTGAGGAATAAATGGAGGACTAGGGAGCTGACAATGCAGGGGAGTCTTTGTTTTGAAATCTGATACAGATTTCATTAGGAGCCAAGATGTGGGCTTTTTTAATTTGCCTTCATGCTTTTTTGCTCTAGTCAAATATGTGATTCCCCTGTATGTCATTCAACTGACAGCCTTATATTTAAAGTGAGGACAAGAATACTCTTGCTGTATTTGTACTCTCACAAAACACTATTTATCTAGAATATTAATTCAAGCCCTCACATTTTATGTGACTTTGATGATTTTCTTTCAGTCAAGTAATAACTCAGTTGGAAAAAATGAAAACAATGAAAATATTTAAAAATAAAAAGCAGAAACTGTTCAGACAGATGACTATAAAATCAGAAGGGAAATAAGAAGTTATATTTTCTAAATAGTCAGACGTGTTTCTTCTAAATATATAACCCTTCTTCTGTGGAAAAAAAAAAAAAAAAGTAGGTAAACTAATGCTAAGTGAAGGTTTCTCTGTTTTTGCTAGTACCTGGTAGAATTTATAGACAGAGATCTATTCCAAAAAGAGTTCAGTGTTATGCAGAAGTCTTTGTCAGTGATCCAGCTCTTCAATATCGTCATAAGATGTATCTTCAAGATGAGGGGATGAACCCTTTTTCTCAGTCTCAGAGGTCCTGTTTCCTGGTGCATGAGGATTCCAAACTGAAAATGTAAAGGGAAGAACACAGAGATAAATGCACATTCTGTATGTATTTCCTCTACATGCTTGTGCAACTGGTAGCAGGGGTGATCAGTTGTCTCCTGTTGATGTGAAAACTATGTATGTACATGCTGTGGAAGAGCTGAAGATCATAGGACAATTATGGTTGGAAAAGATCTTCAAAATCATCAAGTCCAACTATAAACTCAACACCACCATACCTGCTAAACCATGTCCGTAAGTGCCTCATCTATGCATCTCTTGAACACCACAAGGGACAGTGTCTCCACCAATTCCCTGAGCAGCCTGTTCCAATGCTTCACTCTTTCTGTGTAGAATTATTTCCTAATATTTAACCTGAACCTCCCCTGGTGCAACTTGAGGCCATTTTCTCTTGTCCTATTGGCAGTTATTTTGGAGAAGAGACCGACTCCTGCTTCACTACAACCTTCCAGGTTGTAGTATTTTGTTGTAGGCTGTAGTAGGTTGTTTTCRGGTAGTTGTAGAGAGCAACAAAGTCACCCCTGAGCCTCCCCTTTTCCAGCCTAAATAATGCCAGCTCTAAACAAATAGAGCTCCCTCAGCTCTTCCTCATAAGGTTTGTGCTCCAGCCCCTTCACCAGCTTTGTTGCCCTTCTTTGGACACACTCCAGCACCTCCATGTCTTTATTGTAGTGAGTGCCCCAAAACTGAACACAATATTTGAGGTGAAGTCTCACCAGCACCGAGTACAGGGGGAGAAAATCCATTGTCTAATCCTGTCTCCCTCTGCATTCACACATACCCCAACATCATCTGTTCCCAGAAACGAGGTTACTGATCTAACTTGGAACATTTCTAATAAAGACAATTCTTCAATATCCCTTATGTTTTTTTTCTGCCTTACTGTACTTCAGTACATCCTATGGTTTACTGCCCTATTACAAAGCTCTTTGTGAACAACAGAGGTTGTCAATACAACCATGACGTTCTATGTGAAGTCAGCAGCAGCACTGCTCTTTTGTCCTCACCAGTCTGTGAATCCCCATTTCCATCAGTATCTTCAGTGACCACAATGATTTCCTGATCATTATTCTCAGAGAGAGGATCATCTTTTGGTTCAGGAGCTTCTGTCACATCATCATAATTATCTTCCAGAGTATTTCCAGACAGTGAAAGGACTTCTGGAACAGTAACAGGCATTAAACTTAATGGAAAGAGATCTTCTCCTAAAGACAGCAGTAAATAATGATCCAGGGATAAATGCTAATAATTCTGACATGATCAGAATGATAGGAAACCAAGAATCCCCCTGCTGATTTAAAGCTATTCCGAACTACAATGATATGTCTCTAATAATGGTTATACTTTACTGTAGCATGTAGAAAGCACAAACTGAGCACAGAGGATGAACAGGAGGGGAAGGAAGAAGATATGGTTGCCTTTGTGCAGCACCCACTTCCTATTCTTTTCATTACTTTACTATCTTCTGAATTTTACTGAAATAGTTAAGCAGGTGCCCAGGCCTCCTGTTTATAGACATGTGGTCACAAGCTTTGGCCAAACCTTTGGAGAAAAATATCTGCATTTTTTCCTATCTCTGTCTTTCTCCATTGCCTCTGGAAGAGAGAACCAATGAAACCAGCCACATATGTTAATGAAGGAGAGCTGCTACAAAGCAGAAGCCTGTTCTTGCGGAAATTTCCCTAGTATCTACCATTCAATCTACCAGAAATATCATGGAGCCAAAGACCAGGAAGAGCTGAAGAGAGCCAGATGCAAGTGTACTTTGAAGTCACCTGAGTGGACAGAACTGGAGGAAACTAGGAATGTTCCCACCAGTAGGAAAGCAAACTGCTCTTTCTTAAGATTCAGAGATCTCAGGGTAACAGAGTAGAAAAATCAGAAGAGTTTGCTCAGCATAATTCCAAACACTTTATTCTTGAAATTATTCTGGAAGGTAAATAAAATCTAGACTGACAAGCAGTCAGCTCCTTGATTCCTCAAGATGTGTGTACCCTGTGGTTCATACTTACCTGACAGTCATCTCTCAGGGAATCTTTGTCTGTTTTAGGGTTATATACATCAGCATGCACACATAAAATTAAAAGTTACTCAAAGAACTCTCACTTCACTTGATACTTATTCTCAATATTGAATATTAATGAGAAAATTATTTGGAATAGCAAGTTAAAAAAATGATTTTGCATACTAAAAATAAGTTTTTAAAAATCCTTAATAAAATAGAAGAAAACACAATTGACAGAACGGCAGAGTGTTAGGGATATGCACAAAAACTGCTTGTGCATTTTGAAATTGGGTTCATTCAGAGTAGGCAATTATCTGATTAGTTCTAAGAAAATGGTAATTGTTTTCCAAACCCTCACTCTCCTCTTTTTTTTTTTTCACATGAAAATAAACATCTGCCAAACTGCACTTTCTATTAGATTATTCACATGAAAATTCCTTTATCAACTCCAATGGTATGCTCATATTCTTATTTTAAGCATGTTTTTTTCTTGGTCTTCATTTTCTCCATGTATCTCAGAAAGGGAGCAACAGGTTTCAGCCACAGTTTTGTTGGGTTGGCGTGGCTGGATCCTGTGAAAACTGCAATACTCCCAGCAAATATTTATTTACCACTTCTTTAGAAAAGCCTTGTATATGAGATTATATGACACTTTAACCACAGATTACTTCTTTATTTATTCCCATCTTAAATGACTGTTTGTTCTGAAACGCAGCAAAAGCAATTTTTCTTGACCCATACTGGTCTGTACTCCGTTGCTGTAGTGTGTGAATTATTTTCAGGAGTGAAGTTTGCAGAGCTGAGTGCACAGGAAACTGCTCTCCTCAAATTTGCAAACTGTTCAGTTACCTTGTAGGCTTGGAAGCTACGAAGTTTCGGACAGGCATCTGGATCACCAGAAAGAAATAACTTGTGTGGGTTCCCCTGACAAGAACAAGATGCACAGACCTGAAAGGGCGGTCATCTGCTGCTTCTCCCTCGTCAGGTTATAATTGATTTCTTCATAGACGGCTTCCGAGAAGGGGTTAAAGTAGCCTAAAAGTAAAAGGCTGTTACCATTCTCACACAGGCTCTGTTCATTCCCAGACTGAGGTGATGAAAGGGAGTGACCCAASAGGGCCTACATGGCCTTGTTGCAACCTACAAAGTCACAGAGAGTTGCTGACAGAACGGGCTTGGAGAAAACTCCCCTGACAAGGAGGAGGTATTGGATGGGTGAACAGGTTGATTTACAAATCATTTGAATTTGTACACTATTAAATCAGTGCTACAACTAGAAATTTGACAATTGTGTTAGTTGTGCGTATTCTAGTTGCTACACCAGTTATATACCCTAAAAAAAAGCCAGACATTAGTCAGGTGGTTGTCCTCCCTGGTGTCATTGCTTCCCACTTAAACTGTTCCTCTTCACTGGTGTCCTTTTCCACTGTCATGTGGAACCTCCCATCTCCTGCTCTCTGTTCCTCTCCTCACAGGTGTCAGCACAGATGTGCACTGAACAGGGCAGGGCTGAAGTCTCCCATTGCTCCTCTTGGCTACTGCAAGCTCCCACTTGTACCTTGGGGTTCTTCCCATATCAAAAAGTGAGGAAAGGCTCAGCAGGACTGTAGCTGATGCTCACCTCGTCTCCTCCCCCAACTTCACTAGCCATTCAAACACCCAGTCACTTCAAGGAGGGACAAACCTCTCTTCTGTGCCCTGGCACTCTGGAACTGTCTGCAGAGAATGGCAAGCACCAGGCAGAGAAGGATCCCCAGGATAATGCAGAGAATGACAGGTGTTGTGACTCTCTCACTCTGTTTTACAGGTCGACGGGGCTGATCTGAGTGGAAATGAACAAGGAAGAGTTAAAGAATCTGGTGGCCCTAAAGACTGCTCCTCTGTGCCTCCTGCTGTACCCTTGCTAGAAAGGTGATGAGTGTGTTAGAGGCAGGTTACTTGCTGCCTGTTTTTGCTTGAAGAAGCTAGACTAAAACAGCTGAGGATAGTGCCACTCAGCCCTCCTTTACTCTGCGAAATTCCCCCAGAGAATTTGGAGCATATTGGTGGCTTCCATGCTGTGCACTGTCTGGACATTAAACGCGCATTCGATAATGGAAAGAAAGTGGAAAGGGAATATTTCACCTGCTGTAGTGGGTGATGATGTTGTTTCTGTCACACCTGCAAAAGAAAGGAAGAGTCTAGATTAAGGAAGAGGTAACTCTGCTCTCCAGATTTGTGTAATGAACTGAAGGATCAGTCACTAACCAGAACAATCCACTGCAGCATCTTCCTTATGATCACAATTCTTGTTGGATAAAAACTGGGTAGGACAGTCCCAAAGAGACAGCTCTGTCCCTTTGCAGTGCACTTTTTCCAACCAGATGGGACCAGTCCCTTTCCCAAAAGCAGCTTCACTCAGAGCAGAGACAGCAGATCCACAACCCAGCTGTCTGCATACAACCTTAGCGTCTGCCATGTCCCAGGAATCATCACAGATTGTTCCCCAAGAGCCTTGATGCCAAATCTCCACTCTGCCTGAGCACCCATCTTCTCCTCCTGTGACACGTAACTTCTCCCTATCTGCAAAAACCAGAAATCTTCTATATAACTTGAAAAGCAGGAATGTCCAGAGGGACTAAGAAGTTAAAATAGTGACACAACCATACCTGTACAACTTGTAGAGTTTGGACATTCGACAAATGCGAATGGAGTCACTACCCTTTTTCTTCCTACATAAATTAAATACTGAAGTCAATGGTTTGATTATTCTTTGGAAAGAATAACAGAGTAGAAAGTAGAACAGAAAAGAAAGAAACAGTAGAACAGAGTAGAAAGAGTAGAAAGAATAACAGAATAGAAATTGCTTCAATATTAATTACCAAGTTAATTTTTCCAGTAATATATATATGACCTATTTTAGTACTTGGTGGATCTATATTTGTCTGCTGCTGTGAATTAAATAATCTTCCTGAAGTTCCATGATGGCTGTGCTTTCTTTCTTTTTAGTTAAGAAAATATTCAGGAGATCTGAATATCATTTCAAAGTAATTTTTGTTATAGTGGGAACCCACAGATAAGGATTACTATTATTAGAGAAGACACCAGAAATGGACCTTGATTCATGCACTTGCATATGTTTATATACATTTGTACCTATTTGCCTTCATGAACGTACACATACATAAATGCATCTAGACTCCCTAAAAGGTATGACCCTATCTTGTATCTCACAGACTATTTACATTTCATAGACTTTTACCATGATTGTGATTTCCTGTGATTTCTGTGATTCCCACTAGATAAATGCCCTGGACAATCTCATTTCTTTTGTATTCACTCATTTATATCAAGAATGCCAAGTAAGAAAAAAGTTTGTGCCATTTTTATGAAAAAAAMCCATCTATACTGGAAAACAAATGAACACAAGGTAAATACACATTAACATCCATGCTTATATGTATGTCTGGGATGGGGGAGATGCATTTGTAATTACCAGTGCAAGAAATATGTGTCTCTTCTGCTCGATTATCACATGACTGAGGATGCCAGGGGTCTGACTGACATTGCCAGAGAGAGCTATGCTGCTCAGAGCACTCAATGTGGTCTAGCCATGTGGGCCCAGAACCTCTGCCATACTGGAAGTCTCCTGCAATTTCTCCAACATCTCCACAGTTCAGGTGTCTGCATACAGTTATTGCAGTGAGTTGAGACATTCGATTGGAGCAAATGCTTCCCCATGTCCCATTGTAGAAAACTTCCAGCCGCCCAGCACAGTCATTGCCATTCACCAGCCTTAGAGACAGGAACTCTAGAAATGAAGACACAAAAATRTAATTCCAAGGGTCTGATTCTGCTAGGAATTTGGCTGTGAAGAGCGAAATACAGGACCTGCCAACAGTCCTATCCTTACTTTGAGTGAGAAAGTGCTAGAGAAAATCACTCAAAAACCCACAAGCTCATAAAATCAAAAATCATGCAGTGATACCCTCTGGATAGCCAGCTTTCACCAGTATCCACAGAGACTTCCRACAGTGATGATGACTTCCTGCCGTTGTGGGCATATTTATTTAAATAATATCAGAATTGTCGTGAGGTCCTCTGGCTAGTTGAAGTTTTGGCACACACAATGGAAGTGTTTACTAGTTTCAGAGCCAGCTGGAATAGGCTGTGACAGGCACATGACATTTGATGTGCCTGCCACACAGTTCATTCTTGCAGCCTGCTGCTGCCAAAACCCTGCTCTTTATGCCCAATATATTCCATCAAGTTTRCATAGATTATAAACCCTTAAGATCATCACAATCCTACACACATACATTATAAGCTCTACCCTTAGTCCCAGGCAATAGATATCGAGATTGTAACAATATGTACAGTAAGTTCAGTAAACTTTTCCCTCTTGCTCTGGGAACCAGATTATGAGGAGCAACATCAAGCTAATCTCAATTTACACTTATTACAAAATGCAGAACTTGTTCCTGCAAAACACATAACCAAGAATATAGCTTATGAGATAAAGTAAGATTACTCTCTTTATCATATGTAATGGCACACATTTCTTTGTCCTGTTTCCAAGGGTTGACCAGTAAGTAATCTCCAGTCCTTGACCAATAAGGAGCCCTTCTTTAGGGATTTTGGCTAGTGCTGACTTCCCATTCCAGATGTCCCCAGGGCTATCTGGTTCTTTACCACTGAGCTGAGCTCAGGTTATATGATTTCCTTCACGACTACTATGGCAGTTTTCAAGCTTTATGAAAACTAGCCACAAAGCTTCCATGAGGTGAGGTTCCCACCTGAATATTTAGGTTTATCTGGGGAAAAATGAGATTTTCTTTCCCTAGGACTTTTTAGCTGATTTTAACCCTTTGCATAGCACTACTTTTCCAGCTGCCTGGACTCTACTACTGACTCTGCTCCATGATCTTGAGACCATTCTTGGATGTCTGTGTTTTTGTGATGACTTCCATTACCCAATTCTTGCCTAAGCAGGAATATCAGATATGTTATTCCCATGAAATTATTATAGAAGCCTAATTGGAAATTACTACTATATAAACCTAATTGGTTTTCTCTGTTGCCTCCAGTTATCATGATTCTCTTTTTTTTGGAGCCATTTCCACACTGTTATCTGCCATCCAAGAGAGTATATACATATACCTGGGACCACTGATGTTCCTGAGGCTATTTTTCAAGGCCATTACTCCTGCAAATTGACTGGACTCTCTAGTTCCTTTGAGGTGGTAGTTTTTTCTGTAGAAAGATTTCAARTAGGGGCTTGCCATCCCTTTTCTTTCCTGCTATGCTTTTACAGGATCTGTCGGCAAACAAACTATATATATTGGCAGCATTCAATTCTTCATTCATTGGGACTTCAGCAACCCGAAGGATTTGGTCTTCCTTGTAGTGTTGATTGACACACTGACAGTGACTGTTGGCCACTGGCTAATGAGCTCAACTAATTCTGGTGTGCAATTTGTACAAATACTGTTTCCTCAAGTGGARTGCCTGCTGCCAGGAAATCACATCCAGTTGTGCCAATAATGTCACCTTCCATGTGTCCCCTTCATATGTCCCCCCCCTCACAGCTGCTGTTCTTTCTTTAATATGTTTGAGCAGAGGCAGCATGTTCTGSCCTGATTGGTTAAAGTTTGGATACACATGGGATGTTTCGGAGCCTATTTCAAGAGCCATCTGTAACAGGCTGTAATTGGCACATGACAGTTCTTGACTTCTTCCCCCACAGGTCACATCAGCACCCTCCTGCTACAGAAACTCTGCTATTAATGTCCTCTACACCCACACGCACTTTTTKGTTCCCGTGCTTTGCCTTGCCTTGACTTGGCTTCTCTTATTATTGCAAAAGCAAGACTTCAGCAACTTTTTTTTTGAAAATTTGTGCAAAGCAAGTGGACATTCTGACCCACGTCCCATGTTTGCAGTCAAGGAGGTCAGAGGCTGTCAAAGCAAATCTCTGCCATTCTCAGTTTCCCATTCATGTACCTTATCCATGCTCACAAAGGTATTCCCTGAACATACCTGAGCAGAGGACTCCAGCATCTTCTTTGTGTCGGCAGTTATGCTTGCCCCATCCCCTGGAGGAACATTCCCAGAGATCAGATTCATCCCCAGTGCAGTTCACATCATCCAGCCAGATGTRCCCTGAGCCCTCTCCAAAATGAGCAGAGGCAAAAGCCTTGATGGCATGCCCGCATCCCAACTGTTTGCAAACAACGTTGGCATCTGATAGATCCCAGGCATCATCACAAACGGTTCCCCAGATGCCGTCATGATAAAGCTCCACTCTCCCAGCACAGCGCTTTGTCGCATTCACCAGCCTGATCTGCCTGCTCCCTGCAGGAAGAAATCCCATTTTGTCAGCATGCAATATAATGACAATGCACAAGTCAGTGTAAAAGGGCTGTATYTTTGAAGCTTTTCCAAGTCATCATGGCCTTGTTATATTTCAGTATTTTTATTTGGATTAGCTGGGCAGAACTCCTGTGATGCTAAGACCACATTAAAGGAAAGGTCTACTTCTGCATCTGTGATACATTTGAACAATTCCTGTGATGCTGGAAACAGCATTTTATCTTGGAAAGCCTGAAAACCTGTTTTCCAAATAATTCATTTTGTAAATACAGCTTCTGTTACAGATGAGGTTACAAAATAAAATAAATGATTTCAATTTACAACAGATTCAATTTACTCTACATAGATGTTTAGAAAGATTGCATGACTCTATAGATAYAGAAATGTCACCTAACAAAACCTAGTTAATTTCTGAATGATGGAATTTGTGGCACATTGAATTTACTTCTGTATTCTATTCTTTCTCTCTGATTTTATTTAAGGCATTCAGATTACAAAAACACTCTGCAAATTACAGTTGTTTCCTYATCGATCACTCATCCCTGAGAAGATAAAAGCATTTGAGGATCACAAGCTCAGACTCTGGTCTCACCTGTTTAAGATCTCGTGAGACCAGATCTCACTAGATCTGGGGCACTGGAGAATGCCTCAAAAGCATTCTGTTCCTTTTGCACAATAACTCACCTGAGCATATCACACCAACGTCCTCAGCAACTCCTACTGGCACTGTTTCAGAATAGGAGGTCTTGCAGAGCATCAGCTGAGTCTCATTTCCAGAACACTGAACACTTCTTAAACCAACAAGACCCGTCCCTCGTTCAGACCTTGAAGGGTAGTARGCTTTATTGGCAATTCCACACTGCAGCTGTCTGCACACCACATGAGCATCTTTAATGYCCCAGTCATCATCCAGGATTCTTTTCCACATGCCATAGAGTGAGATTTCAACTCGTCCGTCACAGCGGCTCTCTCCACCTATAAGTCTGAGTGATTCAGCAAGGCCTGGASTCAAGAATTAGAAAATTAATATTGTCTACTGCTTTTACCTCAGTAAAAATAAYGTGTAGGCAAGAGATGGAAGTCAGATTTCTATATCTGTAGAACAGTAGTCCTCTCCGCTGATCAAACAAAGTCTCACTCAAGGTTCTGCTTGCCTCCATGCATGCACAGGTCTGCAGTGCAAAAATYGTCTGGAAAAAAAGGGTTTCTGCAGCTCAAAGGCTACATCCTGTGAGGAGTCTGGGACAGTGTGAATCTTTCTGGAGGAGAACCCTATTAAAGAAAGTGAGTATGCTGAAAGCCTTAGAAGTGCATGCTGCACATTGACAGCACTCTAAGAAGGGAGCCGAGTGACAGCAGTCTGCACTGGACTATGATGAGCATGCCCTGCCAGGATTCTCCATCTAGTTTTCCTGCAAAATGTTAACTGTGCCAAAAAAAAAATAAAAAAGAAAAGCCTTGCTTGTTCACCTCCAGTTCACCTCCATGTGCAGCATGTTGGTGACATATAAGCAATAAATCACTCCAGTATTCATCAGAAACTACCAAAATAAAAAGGCACATAAAGTGTCTATTATATTTACTGCAAAAGTGAGGATTTCCCATAATTCTCTCAGTCAAAAGATGATTTTAATATTGTCACATGACAAGTTATTAGTTTWATACACTTTTCAGTATTCGTTTTTAATGAATACTGACAAAATGATAGGTTCACAGTTAAGAGGAAGATTTCTGTGACACAGAAAAGAGAAACTGATATAACTATTTTCTGTGAAAAATCTTTGTAAGTCTGCRTTCATACTGTGATCTCTGTATTCATACTTCATTTTTCTCTATTGTCTTACACTGATAAGTAGTATGGTGGTGTTTGGAATCTGGTTCTTGATGCAGAATATAATAACAAAGGTTTAACGAAACTTTTGGCTAAAACTTCTTCCTTCAGCTAGTTCTGTCCCTCTCTGTGGCAACAGGCAACTCCAGCTTGAATAAGCTGGAAGAGATGCCCTGGAGAAGTACTGGTTGATATAGGAACAGAATTAAAATCTGTATCTTTGGTGAAGAAACAGGCATTTGTATAAATATTTTGTTTCACTAACAAAACTAAATATTTACTTGCCCATACCTACACATTTGCACATTACACATAGTGCAAAGACTTTATGACAAAAGATGACCACAAGGACACAAAAGGATCAGAAAGGATAAGGGAAGTGAGGACAGAATTTTGTTCATAGGAAAAAAAGTGTATATAGGTGTATAATGGCCACATAGCTTGTACATGTCCTTCATACAGCCATCCCTAGAAGAGATGGAGGCCCTGGTAGGATGAAGGGAGTTTGGAAATTGCAAAGTTCAGCCTCACTATTCACTCTCCTCGACTTGCACCAGTGCAACCTTATTGTCAAGCAAAGCAGGGCTTTTACTGCGTCATCAGATATATCTCCCTGGGGAAGTGAAAGGGGAAGAGGGGAGAAAAAAGGGTAGTAAAGGGAATAAATGCTCTAAATAAATGCTAACACACCAGACCTATGTGAGGCATGCCTAGATCACAAAAACTGCTTTGCTCTGAAACCGCTCTACATAGAAAAGGATATTTCTGACTTACCTGAGCAAACAACAGTGGCTGCTTCTCCGGCTGAACAGGAAGGATTGCCCAAAGTCATGTGAGCACAGTCCCATAAGCAGGACTCAGTTCCTTCACAATGGAAAGCGTCCCTCCATACAGGTCCATTTCCACCCACAAAGCGCTGTCCTGTTTCAATGGACTTTGCGTAGCCGCAGTTCAGCTGATTACAGAGGACACTGGCAGCTTGCAGACTCCAGTGGAAGCCGCAAAGTCTTCCCCATTTGTCTCCATGTCGGATCTCCACTGTTCCAGAGCATGTGGTGCCATTCACCAACCTAGCCCCTGAACACCCTGAGCAGGAGAGAAAGTGAGTACTAAAGTGGTATATTGCTAACTGCTCATGGGAATAATCTGAAGGTGACTGGGAAGTAGGAATGGGTTTTCCTTGGCACTCAGGGCTAATAATTGCTCTACAAGGTCACAGGAATTTCCATACTTCATAATACCTATACTTCAGTCACTTCCATTTTACTGAGAATGAATAGAAATCCAAATATGGACTCCTTTGCAGTTTTTATACTGAGGGCATTATATTTCAAGATAAATAGGCATTGAGTGAAGTCTCATCTTCAGACCCTGACCTATGCAGTCTCCAGCCATTGCTCCAAGGGAGAACTTATGCTTGGCCTCAGCCAAGCTAAGGGCTGGAGTCCTTGCCTGAATTATGTTTTCGCTGCATCTGCCTCCAGGCCTGTCTCTGGTTCTATATCCAGATGCTCCTGACTCATCTCCCTGGATGGACCTTGGATCTGATTGGTTACTTTGACTTGTCTGGGACTGTTGATGGACCAGCATCTTCCTCTGTGTTTGTATTGTGTTTTCAGATGCTCTGGACTATGCATTGACAAGGAAATTACACATGCTGTGACCGCCCTCTATTCCCCTTTCATTCTCCTTTGTGAAGCATCCTGCTCTGATTGTTCATTGGCGCTAGGAGCATTTCACGGGGAGCAACCTTGTGGCACACGGTACCACATGGTACATGTGGGCCTTGTGTGCAGCTTCAACTCATGGAAATGCCTGTAGCAGCAGGCAAAAGATGCGGCTTGGCTCTACAGATACCCCCTTGGACTTAGGGTTCATATCTGTCTCAATGAAGGAATTCTTCARTTTGCTTCTTTTTCTTTCCTGCTGCTTACCTGAACACACCACACGAGCATCTTTTCCAGCAGGGCAGTCAGTGTGACCCAGCCTACTGACACGACAATCTCTCGGCCATGAGCCATTCTTTTCACATCCAAATGTGCCATTCCAGAAGGACCCATTTCCTACCCCAAAGTATTGTCCACTTGGGATCGATAGAGCAACTCCACAGTCCAGCTGTTGGCAAAGGGCATTGGCAGCTGGAAGGTCCCACGTGTAGTCACAAAGGATTCCCCACATGCCTCCATGAAGAAGTTCTACTCTCCCTGAACATGTGGTAGTGCCATTTGCCAGTCTGTACCCGCCATAGCCTGCAAGAAGAATGAAGGGACTTAATAGCAATATTTTTCTTGTGCTATTCCTTTGGAAATGGTAAGGAAAATATAGCTACATGGGACTAGCACCTACTCTGCTCCAAGCTGTTGGGGAGACTGTTTGACCAGATGACTCATAAATCAGTTTCAAAACAACAGTCATTATTGTCCATGTCTGCACTACTTGATTTAAAGTTCTGTGACTCTCTAAATTCAGTCTCTCCTCTCAGCACAATACTGCAGCCTTTAACACGGTAACTTGCAGAATCTGTTCCAGCATTTATGTGCCTTTGAAACACGTGGGAAACTCAGAGCAGGAGATAATGAGTACTATTCTTACTCTCAGTAGCAGCTTATGTCACATTACTGAGTGTTAGCAGCTTATGTCACATTACTCAGCGTGCAGCAGCTGTGGTGTGCTGACCCTAAATTTTCTTCTCTGCCACAGCATAAGGCTCTGAGCACAGCAGGCCATTCACATCAGCAGATTCACAGCAATGTAGTTCTGGTATGTCTAGGACTGTGGGGTCTAAGACGCTAAGTACTCCAACAGTGCTCCATGCAGATGAGCTTATCTTCTCAAACTTCCCTTTTACTGTCCAAGCTGTTAGCTCATTTTTGCTTTATACTTCCTCTAATGAGATTTTCCTCATGCTGGATTTCCTCCTTGTGCTGTGAATCATGGAGAAGGACAGAAGTAGCAGCAAAGAACTGTCAATCATTGACATCTAAATTGAGCTATCTGGCTGCCACAGCTACCCAACAAAGGGCTACAGATGACCTCAATTAGTGGAACACTGTTTAAGGCAGGGCTAAATCAGACTGCAGCACTTCAGCTGCAAAATGGACATGTTATATGACAAGGAATTGCCAGCAGCTCTGCCCCTATTAAGGTAATCAATTTTGATTTTTGTTCTAAGAAGAAAATCATAGTTGTTACGTATATGTCATATGTTATTATATAATCACTTTTTTAGTGGGTGACTCTAACCTGTTTAGAGCCCCCAATACAGAAAAGCAGACATGACTGTCCAAAGTGTTTAAATAATGACACCTAGCATTCATAATAGCTGTCATCCAGGCCTCTAGGCCAGCTTTTCTTGTAAGCATTTGTGACTTCTACCTTCTATCACCTTTTGGAGGTAATTCATCCTCACAGTTGCATTAACCAAAGCATTAGGGATTAACATGAACACATCAGAGCAGAAAATAAACTCAATTCTCAATGTTCCTGGTTGTCTACTCTGGCCCCTGCTCCTCTTATCTTTATAAGAAAGACAAGGAAGCAGTTCTGAGCACAAGAGAGCCTGTTCCTTTATAGTAAGAGAAATGACAACCCTTTGAGATTGCCATTCCTGGTGCAGAAGCTGACACTCAAGCAAGTGAACGAGAGATTTTCAGGCTGCTCTCCTTTACTTCCTTGTTTTCCTTGGTGTTGTAGAGAAGCAGTCAGGAACCCTCTGAGGGCCACACAAATATGCAGAGACTCTGAACAGGCTAACAGGAAGAAGACATGTAGGGCAGATGTAAATTAGGACCATCAGTCCAAAGCCTTACCTGAACATAAAACACTGGCGTCATGGGAACATGTCTTACTGTGGTGCAAAATCTTGGCACAATGTGCGAGGTGAGTCTCATTCCCGATACACTGGAACTCTTCCTGCCAGATCAGCTCATGTCCTGCTTCAAAGTGAGTTCCTCTCAAGACACCTACAGCCTGGCCACACTCTAACTCATTACATATAACAGAAGCAGCTTTGAAATCAATATGTGAATAACAGACCATAGCCCAGCTTTCTTCTTTCCTTACTTCCAGATGTCCTGAGCAGGCACTGTCCCCTCCTGTCAGATGCAGCCCAGAGAAACCTAAAAACATTCAAAAAAATTMACACTGAGGGTTGGTTGACCTAACCTGATCAATGCCATTCCTTYATGGTGCTCACTTCTCAAAGGGCCAGTGACACTTAATTAAACATTGTGGCAATTTCTGTATGCCACTGGTAAAAAAAAATTACAGTGTAGAGTGTGAAAAGGCTAAATCTTGAGCAAGTATTTGAGAAGCTAAAGATAAGATATGAATGAGAAGATTCAAATTCTAACAACAGAAAGAGTGAGATTTTGAACATTGAACTATTTGTAAAGAGCACCAAGCAGAGACAACTTAAAAGGTAGGGTGTTAATTGGAAGGGGACAGGTTTATTTGTTTGGTCACAGTGCCAGCCCTCCTGGGTGACTTGGCTCCCATAGACTTACTTAAGTGTCTCTGCTCATCACTCCATGAGCTGCAGATTTCTGAGAAACAAGTTGTTCTGAAAACTACATAACTGTGCTTCTGTGACACTCCTGAGTTAGGATGCCCTGCTGCACTCCAGCTGCTTTTGTGTATAGGCAGTTCAGCACCTGTACCTTGCCTCTTTTCTTCCTCTGGTTACCTCGTCTTCCTGCAAAACTATCCTGTAGTTCAGCATAAAACAACATTTTATCTTTGTTTTCTCAACTCACAGCTCTACTAGCAGTGAAATACTATRAACTATACCAGCATCATCACTTGGTGAGACATTTATTTTACATCTGTTTCTTGTTAGCATATATGATGTGAATATCATGATAGATTWGCTTTGGTGCTGTTCAGATAATTACTATTAATTACAATTAATTACAATTATTATTGTAACTGTGAAAAGTCATGGAAACTAATGAAAAATTATGCAAGGARCAGTGGTAACAGGTGTAAAATGGAAAGTAGCAAAGCCAATTATTGATTGCTAATTTTGAGGGGGCTCTTTTGACATTAATTCAGGCTTTCTCTGAAACAGAGCAGAGACATTCCATTGTAGGATTATCACATGGCTTACGTATTACTATTTTTTGGTCTTTCATCAAAATACTCAGTTTTAGTAAATCTACTCCTTGMTCTCTTTATAAAGGAAAAGAAAAGGTAAAAAGAAAATAAAGAAAAAAACAATCTCGATGTGCCTGATTTTATCGATCTTTACATGTGCATTAAGTTTGAATGTAAGCTATATCCAAGCTATTCACATGTACTGCACATGTGCTGCAGTCATACACCTTATGGACAATAACTGTTTTCTGAAGTAGCCAGAATTTTTACCCATGTCAATGGAGACTGCTTTGTGAACTTAATGCAATTAAACACACTAGGCAACTTTACAGACTGCAGCCTACAGAAAGAAATCTTATTCAGCGGAAAGACTATACAAACATAACGTGACAGAAATCCAAAATAAAAGAATAAAATCATTTATGCAAGAAAATGTGTTCAAAAAAAAATTATCAGAAATGACAGTATAAAACCACTGGAAAATAAGTCTTGATGTTATGGGTAAACATTTTTCTTCAATAAATATAAGAGGACTCTCAGTCTAGGTGAATTATTAGTTTCTTCAGGACCAAAAGGAACAGTTAATAGTAAGGGTTCAAAGACTGTTTATAGCATGAAAAAAAATCCAGACAGTAGAACCTAAAGTTAACTGTGAAGACTAATCATATTGCCAATATCAACTAATCATATGCCAATAAACCTTTGGCACATCAACAATGGCTACATAGCCCCAGACTGAGACTTAAAGACATGGTGGCCCTGGTGGCATTCTCCTCAATTCTGCTGGTGAAATGAAAGGGCCTGGGGGAGGTTTGGACAGATCCCTTGGTCAACGCATGACTGCATAGTTAACATCATTAAAGGGTCTTTAAAGGACCCATTTGGAGGATCAAGGCCTTCTGGGGAGATACAGGATGAACCTGACTGCTAACAGGCAAGTCAACTACATGAGGGAGTTTTTAAACTAGGAATATGAGGACAGGGAGATTATGACCCATAGTTAAATGAGGTGGAGATGGACAGGAGTGAAAATCAAAGGGTGCAGGATGATGGGAATGAAAAAGACCTCAGGAATGATATAGAAAAGATGGGTACATACACCCATCTCAAGTGTATGTACACAAGTGCACACAACCAAAGGAAAAAAAAAAAAGAGAAACTAAAACTCCATACATGGTCATAAAACTATGGTATTGGAATAACCTGAAATGTGTTGAGACAGCTTGCATGGCTGGGGTGCTGTGCTGATACAAGCTTTTCATGGAAAATATACAAGCAAGATGAGAAGTGAAGATTGTCTTCTATATGAAGAAGCAACTCAAATACATGGAGCTGTAACCGAAATTTGTGCTTTAACTTCATGTAGCATGAGGCACTTAAAGACATGGTTTAGTAGGCATAGTGGTGATGGGTTTATGGTTTATGGTTGGTCTTGATGATCTTAAAGGTCTTTTCCAATCATAATGATTCTATGATTCTATGATTCTCAGCTTACGGGGAGATCTGGAAAAGAGCAGCTATATTGTCTAACAGAACATTTTCTTGCTCCTCTGTCTACATCTCCTTTTTTTTTTGGTCCCTTCTGTCCAAATTCAAGGTCAGCAGTGCTCTTGTTCTTTGGAAGAGCTGTGGTAGAAGCATGTAGCGCTGCACATTACCTCCTGACACATACCCCTTTCTCAYGCTTTTCCGTTTTGCAGCTGGGCACTGTTCTTTTTCTAAATGATGTACACAAAAATTGCCTTCTGCTTCTGATAAAATTGTCATTGCTGTGCCTATGGAAAATAAACATATTACCTGCAGATAGCAGAAGTTTTAACATTGGTATGGCCTGTTGGTAGAGAAAGTCATAGTCTGGATAGAGAACTGGCTGGATAGCAGAACTCAGGGTTGTGATAAACGGGGTCAAGTCTAATTGGAAGTCTGTGGCCAGTGGTGTCCCCTAGAGGTCGGCACTGGGTCCAGTTCTATTCAACTTATCAATGATTTTTATGAGGGAACAGAATGCACCCTGAGCAAGTTTGTGGATGATACCAAACTGGGTGGAGTGGCTGACACTCCAGAGGGCTGTGCTGCCATTCAGAGGAACCTGGACAGGCTGGAGGGCAGACAGGAACCTCATGAGTTTCAATAAGGCAAGTGCAGGGTCCTACACCTGGGGAGAAATAACCCCAGGCACCAGGACAGATTAGGAGTTGACCTGATGGAAAGCAGCTCCGCAGAGAGGACCTGGAAGTTCTGTCTGACAACAAGTTACCCATTACTCAGCAACGTGCCCTTGTGGCCAARAAGACCAATGAAATCCCAGCCTGCATTAGGAGGAGTGTTGCCAACAGGTTGAGGAAGGTGATCCTCCTCCTCTCCTCAGCTCTGGTGAGGCTGCATCTGGAATATTGTGTGCAGTTCTGGGCTCTTCAGTACAAGAGGGATGTAGAACTTCTAGAAAGGGTCCAGTGATTAAAAGACTGTAGCATCTATCTTACAAGGAAAGACTAAGTGAGCTAGGTCTGTTTAGCCTARAGAAGAGAAGATTGGGAGGAGGTCTTATCAACATGTACAAATACCTGATGGGAGAATGTAAAGAAGATAGGACCAAACTCTTTTCAGTGGTGGCCARTAACAGGACAAGGGGTAATGGGTACAAATGAAACACAGGAGGTTCCATCTCCAAATGTGAAAGAACTTCTTTACTGTAAGGGTGACAGAGCAGAGAAACAGGCTGCGCAGAGAGGCTGTAGTCTCCTTTGCAGATCTTCAAAACCCACCCAGAAGCAAMCCTGTGCAATGTTCTCTAGGTGTTCCTGCTTGAGCAGGACGGTTGGACTAGATGATCTGTAGGGGTCCCTTCCAGCCTCAACCATCTTGTGATTCTGTGATAGAGAAAGACCTATAAGCTGAGTTAAAAATTAGTCCCTTTCCTTCATGGGATTTTTCTATTATGGAAAGTTTGATGGCTTCTTACCTGAGCAGATCACTCCAGTATCAAAATAGTGAGGGCAGTTAAATACACCCCATCCTGGATTTGAACAGTTCCAGAGAGCAGATTCATCACCACGGCAATCAACTCGATACAGCCATGTTGGTCCAGATCCTTCTCCAAAAGGAGCTCGGTTAAGAGCCTGAACAGCAGATCCACATCCGAGCTGCTTACAAACAACCTCAGCATCTTCTATCTTCCAGTCACCATCACATACAGTCCCCCACTGCTCATCATGCTTTATTTCCACTCTCCCAGCACAGGGATCAGGTCCGTTAACTAGCCTCAATTCATCATCACCTTCATATACAAAGACAGAAAARAAGTTATGGAGCTTCAATACTATTTATTATCACAACTGGTAAATTACAATATTAATCTTAAATATGAAGTCAACTTTGATAGATTTGCATTTCTAAATAGCTGCACATGACGTTTGAAGTTTAGGAATTGTGTTTGCACTCTCAAGTTTGAGCTAATTACACTGCTAAAATGTAAGCTATTTCTAATGCTAGACAAATTTTCTCTCCCCCTGTGCACTCAGGTCTGGGAAATACCCCTGCTGTGTGTTTCATTAAAGTTTAAACAGAAACATCTCCTTTTTCTCTGTTGTTCTGCCGTGCCTGAGGATACTCACCTCAAAACGTCTGCTGGGCACCAGTTTCTTCATTCCCATCCCAAATATGTTGTGAAGAAGCAACTGTCACGTTTGCCTCAACTCTCAGACAAAATATTACTTGCAACTCACTGTTTCCAAACTCTTTATCTCTTCCCTCTTCCTTAGCCCTTGTTAGGGGATCCCATAAAGAGGGGYACCTGAGCATAGAAGAGGGCTTCTTACATAGATGTCATTAGTGAATGGGAAACTATTCTGGGAGTTGCAGGAGCTAAGAGTTCAATTCTTTTCTGCCATTCATGCTCCACTATATCTTGGAGTGGGACTGATCCCCCAAGGACCATCTATCCCTGCTGCCCTCCTTTTCCTGTTCCTGCCATTCTGTGTGTCTCAGCTTCTAGGTCTCCTTCTTCCAGTGGTAAGGATACACAGCTCACAGTCCTCTGACCTGAAGCCCCACATAATAGCATTAAGGTCATCACAGATCATACAACTCTTGTCTGATAGAAAAGATGTGCATGAGGTTTCCTTGCTTGACAATGTTGGCTGGCTAATATAGACAATTCAAATGATTATGCAGTAGCCTAGTAAAAGAATGCAGGAAGAATTTTGTTACATTCAAATACAGGAATGATGGGGATATAGAATAAGCTCCTAGGAATGTGAGCAACAAAAAGTTCTTCTAGGAGAACCCAAGGAACACAGAGGGAAAGGTTTGTGTCTCCATCTTACACAGATATGGAAAACATTGGGAATCCTGATGTGTATAGCCTAAGACATAATCACATGTTAAAAAATAYGTTGAGGATCTTTTTTCTAGTAAGAAATTTTTATTTTTATTTTTTGAATGTCTGTTCATAAAAAAAAAATCTTTATTTGCCAAAAAATATATATTTGTTTGAGTAAAAAGGATATATGTTGAGTTAATATTCTGAATTCAGGTTGACATCTGTAGATGTTTGTAAAAACAAATGGTGAAACAAAAGATAATGAGAAGATGCCTTTGTCAAATTCAATTGAGAACAGTCACTGTGTACTTAAGCAACAGCACAGATGACTGTGACCAGCAGGTTCAGAAAATATCTCTGAGCCTTGGTTGTCTTGTGGGCCCAGGTGCCAAAAATTAGGGAGAAGCAGAGATCCAGAACTACTTGCTGGATGTCTAGTTGCTAAGTTGCTAAGCTAAGTGTATAAGCTCAGTTACAGAACATTCATAATGTCATCGTGGGGATGAAGGATAATGTATGTGTGTGAGACACACTGGGGTAGAATGGTGAGTCTTGCAGTGTATGGGTGCCAGCAAACACAGTAGACCAAGACACCCAAGGGACAACTACTAGATAGACTGAGTGTTTAAGTTTGGAGGGATCTATTTCCTAGATATTTCCAACTAACACACTTTCATCCTGATCTGMCACAAAAATAAACAAAATGAGACTACTGTGTTGTTTGTGTCAGTGTTAGTGTTGAATATTTGTGTCTGTGCTTATCTTGCAGCCGGCCATTTATGTACATATATGWGTATTGTTTATGTGTGTTTTTTGTGTGTGCCTAGTAGGAATACGTTATTAGTCTCGTTACTGGTTGGACCTGGGGGTATAGTGCTGCAGCAGCACTGCCTCTATTGTGCCTCTGTAATCAGCACAAGCTAATCCATTTTAAATACATTTACCTTTCGGATCTCTAGTTTTGGATGCCAGGATAAACTATTTTATGTTTTTATGATGAAGCTCAAAGAATGTATTTGTATGTACCCTAAGAGGCCATTATGCTAATATCTCATTTTGCTACATGAAAGAAACTCTAGAGAACATTAACAATATTCCAAAATGCTTTGTGTATGATATAAAAATTTCAGTAGTCTCTAAAATTCACAAAGTCTGCTTGCACATTATCTAGAATATTTTTGTTTGAGGAATCCAATCTACAAGCAGTTGGGTGCACTAGTGTCCATTACGTACTTCCAGATGAGCATATGAACTGTGTCTGCACAGAAAGGATTTTATGTAGTGCATTAATCAGTAATCACAAGCGATTTAAACAGTGATACATGAAAAAGACACAGGCTTTAAACTTTGAGATATCGACCAACCTATATCTCAAAGGAAGAAAGGAACCTGTATCTCAAAGGAAAGGAAGAAAGGTGTGCAATTATCTTGTGGCTCCATTTAAGCTCAACCCTGATCCTTCTGTGCTTTCCTGAACTCTGCTGTAGGTGCCTATCTCCAGCTTTGCCCCAGTTATGCCGGTATCTGGTCGTTGACCCTGACGATCTGTGCTCTGATCTGCAGACTGACTTCCTGGCTTGATCTGGAACCTATCTACCCACCATCAACCTGCTATTCAGCTTGTGATTCTTAAGTATTCTTCACGGCTATCGCAGTTACCCATGATAAACACAAAGCTTAGGGAATWACACTGCAATGGAAAGAAGAAAGGTATCTGAACCCAACCAGGTGTCCAAAAGAAACCTGCAGTACTYTATATGATTCAGCACTGGACAGTGCAATTATACAAATCTTGCAGATAAGCCAGAAAGACTCCTCTCGGAGATCCTCTCAAATTGATGGTACTAAAAGCTCAGGTTAGGTTTTCCATGAAAATAAATTCAAATCAATCTATCTCATCCTCTCACCCTTCCTCAAAAAAGAGAGGTGTTCCTATAGAGCCGAAATACTGCTTACTAAAACAAATTTTAATAATTTTACTTTCAATTTTAAAGTGGATTATTCTCTCATTCCTCATGTATATACAAACATTATTTCACAGCCTGATGCTGATGCAGCATCARTTTCAACAAGCAACGTTCAACAACTAAGCAATTTCCCATTTCTCATTCTAGAGCAAAATTATAGATATAATTCACTAAGATTCACTATAATTCCACTCCCACATGGTTTGTAATATAATTTCTGTGCTGGCACTGCTGGAGTTCACTACAATTTCCTCCTCATCATTTAGCTTCAAAAATACCACAAGTTTCTGGGAGATTATTTAAATGATTGATAACTAATAACTTCTAGAGATCATTTATCTTCAGACTCTTTTCTCAAATTTCCTCAGTAAGAAAGCTTACAACGTATATAGCACCAGCCTCTAGTAACTACAAATACCTTCCTACTTGCTTCTGAGTATAATTTTCCTGTAAAAAATCTTCAAGAATCTAACAGGAAGGTGTGCACTCCTGTTCCCTGATTCCGTTTGACAGTCTGGGCCATATCTGAGCTGTTTCAGCCTTAGCTTGCAACTTACTCCCCAACATCTGTCAATCTCATGCTCTCTCCATGCTGCAGACTCTTTGAAGCCTAGGAAGTGGTTGTGGAAGTGGACTCGGCCAAACTCAGTGGAAACACAGAGCACAGTAAAATTACTTTAACTGCTGTTGGATAAAGACCTGGAGTTATTCACTCTGTCTGGACAGAACTTGACAGAGGAGGCAAGACAGTAGTTTGGATACCCACTTGGTTGCCATTACCAGTTTGTTCATTTAMCAAGAACCTAAGCATTGGCGCTATCGGTTTCATTATAGTCAAACTTGGACTCATTGTCCTACAGGAATGGCTGGTCACTCATGTCTAGAAAAAATACAGAACTATTACAAAGGCTTACTCTTCTTTCAGAATCAAGGAAATATGAATCGAAGATGAAAGTGCAAACACTTTCTTGACACTATGTCTTAGAAGCCGATGGAGAAACAATTTATTTTTCCTGAATTTAAATTTTCTTCCTTGCTCATCATCTTACGCAAAATAAAGCATTTACTTACCCAGAGAGACCCAAATGGAGAGGAGAAGTAACCACAACACTGAAATAGAAGGTTGTGTCTTTCTTGTCATCCTGATTTTATCCTCACATGAAACTTCAGTGTCTGTTAGGCACTGCCTAGACCAAACTTTCTGCAAAGGCTTCTCCGTATCTGACAAGTGACTGTGAAGAAGGAAATATATAGATTTCTGTGCTAGCATCAGCTGCACTAAGGAACCAATAGAAATAATGTTCACCTTTTTAGACTTTACCAATGGATTAATCTCAATCTGAAGGAGCCAAAGCCTCCAATGAAATTCAAAAATTGAAACTATGACCATATTTGAATGATAACGCTTGTGACATCATCATTGATGGGACTAACATTTTTGGTACTGGCACAGCAGTATGTAAAATGGTTATATCTCATCTGACAAAGCAATGTGAATACACAGAACACTGTTCGTTTTATAAATTACTTTGAAAGAGCACAAGGGAAAGAACAATCTTTAAATGTGACCCGTCAATCTGCTTAGGAGTAATTGTGTTCTCACTATAGAAAGTGCAGAAGTGGAGTTCTGTCACTGGTGTTAGTTGTAACAAATGACACTCACKCTTTCTTAGCAGTGTGCACTGATCAGTGTTTCCTTCTTAGTTTGGGTTTGCATGGGTAGAAGATCTTGAAAGACCATCTTCATTAGGATGTGAACTACAACAGTGTCAGTCTCATAGGACTTCCAGTTTCCTGAGTTTTTTGTTGTTGTTTCAGGTTATGTATGATCATCACTGAAAATTCTGTCCACCCTCTCATCCTTTTTAGGACACTGAAGTTAGGGCAAAATTGAAGGCAGCTGTGAATCATAACCACGGCTACTTGACTCATTCTTGGCAACTGGAAGGAGTTGCAGAAGACTGTCCATTTGCACAAGTCTGAATACATAATCATCTTTATGTCACTGACAGATTATTGTCAGTGCTTATGTTGTCTGGTGGCATCTATCTGGTGTTCATCCAGAATTCCAAGTTCAATGACATCCAAGCTGTCAGGGCATTAGTGCACTAACAAGCTCTGCAACCTTTTTTTCCTCTCCTAGGCTTTTGGCTGCTGGTGTTCATGGTTAAACTTCCCTGATACATGATCTGAGAGCTGAATCAACTGTATTCCTTTACAGAAATGGAAATGGGCACCTAGGCCACAGGTTTACATTTCTTATGGAGATATTTCAAGACATGCTGTTCCTGAAGCCTTTCTGCTGGCTGTGATAYGGTGACAGATCTGCCAGCTCACCATTTGAGTTTTATACACTAACACAATWTATCTGAAACTAGGCCAGCTATATAACTACTTGCCCCATATTAGCTCCAGGAAATGTTCTCAGGAGCACTTTTTGCCTGCACTTGCTGGTATCTGGGCTTCTGCAGCAGGACAAGCAGCTCTCCTGTAAACATGTGATAATGTAACCAAGTAAATACCTAGAAATGAACAGGCCACCTCGCAGGCTTGTTGTTGTACTTTTTGTTGTTATTTTCATAGTGGGACCATTAGGAGAGCCTACCTTACACTGAGGAAGGGAATCTCTGGAGGACCATGAGTCAATCAAGAGAGATTAGCTCTGGAAGAGCATGCATGATATTTAGGGTTAGAGTTGAGTGAGCACCATTGTCTCCTTCACTGGACCCTTTTGGCACCTACCTCTATGGGTACTTCTGGATAAGGATTACTTCTTCTCTGTTTCTCTGCAGGAGAATCTGGTGTTGAACCTTCAGAACTCTTTATCCTTATTAGGAGGAAAAAATAGTTATAACTGATTGTTTTCCAGCTTGCAAGGTAAAAAGGAAAAAGATAAATRTGGAGCAGGGCCTAACCTAGTTGTGGCACAGAGTAAAGCTTTTTTTCTTTGAAGCTCTGTCCATATACATACTTAATCCCCTGCAAAATTGACAATCCCTGGCATGAACAGCCCAATAAATAGCCCACTGCTCCATGAGAGTATATCAAGGTTATTCCATAGGCGCACTGAGCAGGGTGGAAGAAAGGATTCTTAGAGATTCTTAGCTGACTTCTGATGCTTTTCTATCCTGCCCCTTTCCATCTACTAAGAAATGCAACATGGGCAGCCCAAGGACATAAAAATGTTCCTGCAGCATGGTATTGAAGCATCAGTATCACCCATGTATTGTGCAGTGAGAAAAACTGGCAGGTTTGTGAGGCAGGAACCCACAGTTGAGATGTGTGTTGGGACTGCTTTCACACACAGCCAGCTAAGACATGAAAGTATCGTGGGGATTCATCTCCTAGAGCAAGCAGAAAAGGATGTGGTTAGAGGTTCACCTCACATTTCAAGCAATCAGCACAAGCATAGTCCACAGTGCTAAATAAAAGATCAGATGACAAGTGACACAGACTGACTTGTGCCAACACTGCAAAGGGCTAACTCTCTTTACAACATAGTTCTCTTGAGGTGSGCCAAAACAAAACAGCACCTGTGCCACGGACAGAAGCTAAGTGCTGGCRTTTGCTTGTTTATTGGCCAGTAAAGGCATACCCAGAGGGTATCTTCCACCCTTTTCTTCTGCAACTGAAGTACTGCCTGATCTTTATGAMATCTGTCAGGATTCACCCCTGTGGCAGCATGAGTAATCTCTCCCCTTGCACTTAAGTGTGAGGAAAGAGTTTTAAAGAACTTAGGGAGAGGCCTAGCAGTACTAAGCAGTCTTGTGGTAGATCTTCTGGACAGGAAGGAGCCCTCCTTTCAGCAACTGRTTCAACATTTACCTAGAGCTTCCAGGAGACTTAAACAAGGAACACTGATGAAAATTGCTTCTGTCCCTTTCCCAGCCCTCCAATAGCTGGGAGGCACATCAATACTGGACTTGACCAAACCTTCCACAGAGCACACCAGTGTAGCCTCAATCAGTAACAACTCATCATAGATGAGCTGCTAGGCCCGTCGTTTGCAATTTCCTCCTTACTGCTGCAAAGACCATTTAGGTCTTGCTGTAAGCAAAAAGATGGCTTGAAGGAGGCTCAAGGTGCAGGGAGGGCAGTTTGAGGGGAAAAGGGAGGACAGGCCTGTGTGATCTCCCTGTGTGATCTCTGGCGTTTCTCATGGTACCTGGAAYCACATCAACTGCCTGGCTGAAACCAACCCATTCTGTGGATTGCARTGTGGGGAGAGATAAGAACTGTTCCTGCCAATAGTTGTTCAGGTTAATGGTATCTAGAAGAGTGAGGTAATGATGTAAAGGTGGAAAACTTGCCACCTCCTATGCTTGGGCCAAGCTGCGGCCTCATCAGATGGTGTCCACTATTGGAAACAAAGTGACACTCAGCTGTCCTGACCCTCAACAATCTGGGATAGTGATGGGAAATTATTCACCTATGGACTGTAGGAACAAAGCATCCTTCCTCARCCTGCAGAACTGAAATGCAACTAARCAGCATCACTGCAAACRGAGGAAAAACCTCAAGACATCTTGTATATAGGATATATAATCCCATTGTCTTTTCATAGAGCAGTCTTGAGTCAAGAGTGTGCTTGGAATGTGGAATGAGTTATACAATGCTTTGTTGATGCCAATGTATGATTGTGGCCTAGACAAATTTGTCAGACTCCTCATATTATGAGTTTATTCATTCTTGTGGATCCACATGACTCCTCCAGACCTTATCAGTTCTTGGAGAGACCTTTACATGCTATCTTTCAGTGATTTACTTGTCCTTTCTTTGACTTGCTGTTTTCTGGGCACCATTTTCCATTTATAACCACTTACCTACAGTTGAATTCTATGACTGAAATACATTGCTTTTCACTATAGATCCGTAAAACAGCATAGCTCTCACAAGACACTCTGCTTTTCCATGATTTCGCCTTGTGGCAGTGGTTACAGAAATCTTTAGCTCCAACCCATTTTGACAAAATTATCTTTTGTCAAATTATCAAAGTTATCTTTTGTCAATTACAAAATTATCTTTTGTAAAATTATCTATTATGTTTCTACCACATGCTGACACAGTGTTCCCCTCTGATGTCAGCTAAATGCTGTTTTCCAAACTTTTGAGTCTGGAGGCATGCAATTTTCCAGTTAAAATTAACAGAGCACAAATAGCTAGTCACTTTTGATGACTAGATGCAGGTCATCCAGTATCTGCCTCTGCTATGTCTCAGCTGCTTAGCTCCTCAGCTTTAATTGCATGCTGAAGGTAGGCAGGTACAGAGTTGTTATGTTGATTTATAACACTGTACTCACTACTCACTAGAAAGTGTCATCAGTAAGGACTTCTGGTAAGATTTGGCGTTACCAGGCTTACAGGTAAAGGCAAATTTAAATTTTTAAACTTGCACTTCAGTGATATTAAGTGGTTTTAGTCAGATTTTGGTCCCTTTTGTACAGGAAACAATGCAAATTAAGAAAAGCCTTCAGCCATTAACTCCCAYGTGAATGTGTAAGTGGGCATGGGACATAAACACACACAAACATATACTTTATGCTCCAAAGCTAATTATAGACTGCTTYAAAACTGATTTGAGGGCTAGACAAGTAGATATGCTTTTGAACTGCTGTTATCTTTGAATAAAGCATGTATTTTTGTAAGAGATTGAGCTARTATAGTTAATGCTTAGGTAAAGATAGGGATATCAGAAGGGAAATGAACAGTTAGGAAGGAAGCCACCTTCTTCCTTTCTTAGGCTCTCATAGAGGGATTTTGAGTTTAAAAGAAATGAGATGCATCCTGTGATTAAGTTAAAATTGAGCTTTGAGAAGGATTACTCTCAGTACCTCAAAATGACATTAGTTTAAATAAACATCTGAAATGAAGTTCTCTGGAGTGCTATTTAGCTTTTGAATCTTCATGAACCTGTTTTCCAAAAGCTCACATCTTGTGGGGAGCCCAAATGCTCTTGAGAAGCTGTGGAACAAAAAACATGTATCTAAAATGAATGAGCTGAGCAAAAGTTATTTTAAAGAAATATATAGATCTGACAGAACTTATTTTTAGGAGCTGCCCAAACAAAGGCCAAAATTACTTGTATCATAGAAAAAATTATAATTTTATTTCAGAATATATTATATTTTTATTTAATGGTCT